GACCTGTGATCAGCATTGGCTTAGCAGCTCAAAGGGCCACTACTGTAGCATGCTGAAAGCCAAGAGAAGTTAGCTGCTAAGGCTGTTTGACACCATGTTTCATCTCCTCTGTGCTGAAGACAACTTACTCAGAGATAAGACCTGTGAACAAAAGTTAATTTAAGGGAAAAACTGGATTAATGACTTCAGTTTTCATTTGCTTGCTCCTATAAACAGGCTCTGCTTAGTGATAAATGATAACTCCTTACACACTCGTGACTCCTTGTGCCGGTGACTGAGGGGACCAAGCGTTCCCATAATCACCGAGGCAGATTCCACAGAATCCTTAGAGGTGTTTTTTGTGGTATGACACATACTTTTCAAACAAACTCAACTGTTGCCCTGGAACGTATTGAACTGAAAACCAAGTCATTGCTCTGCATGCGTTGCCACTGCTCGAGATACAGCTTGGTCTGGCCGAGTATTTCCTAGAGAGAATAAAGCAGGTCCTAACTAATGAAACAAGAAATCCCCTTGGAATGAATGCTACTCCTGTTTCTTTAGCACAATAGCAACACTAACACACCATTTCCGCTGGGCTTAACCCTGCATAAACACAGGCTTAACTTTGAGGCAGACTAAGCTTTCCCAGGCTCCATACTTTCTCTTTTTAACCACATTTGCTGCTTTAATTCCCACATCATACAGGTGCTGACAGCAAAACTTCCTGACCTAAAACAGTGGATGGGAAAGGTAAAAAAGCTGTGCTAAAAACTGACAGGTTTCCTCAGAAGTACAACCAAACCCATTACCTGTTATGGACATCCGATGGTGTGCTGAGAACTGCAACAGGTCTTGTGCTGCTTGTGAAAACGTTGTCTGGGGTGGGGGGGAAAGCAGAAGACGGTTTTTAACTGAATCATAGTTTTCATCTGTTACTGGGTATTAGGTATAAGCTTCTCCAGGCCACTTCTGTAGTAGTGAAGAACCAGCCGAGATCATGCACACAGTTCAAAGTTGTGATTTCGATTCCTGAGATTAAAACTGTTCTTAAATAAACGTACACCGTATCACTGTTTGATGCCAGGGTACTATGATTCTGCAGCGCTAGGGCAAGGCAGGCTGGAAGCCCTGCTTGTTCACAGGATGCTTCTCTTTCCAAAACTTGGAGCAGGTTTTCCATTGAGCATAGCTAAAAACAAACTGTCAAGTATTAAACCATGCTAAGTTACTCCCATCACCACCCAGTGAGCAAAACGCATAATGGACAGTGAAGCCTATATGGGCAACCGGGCATTATTGATATATTATTCCTGCTTTTGCAAAGGCTTAAAGACTTATAGCAGCACAACAAAATAGAAATGCTTCAACATATCTTTGGGTGAAGCTTTATGTTTGCCACAGGAGGGCGGCAGCTGCCAGCTTGAGCAGCACAGCAGCTTCCCCCCCCAGATTGCACATTTCCTTAAGGAGTATCTGTTTCTTGGGCTTTACCACTTACATTTGGGGTTTTTTGCCATCATAAGAAGCACAGAAGGATGACAGCGTGTCTAGGAGTCCCTCTTGTTGCGTTAGCTTGGTTCCCAGCTGCCCTGTTGCTAGCAAGGCTGTATTGAACAGTCACACCCGCAGGCAGGCACAGCCACCAGTGGTCCCACATCAATACCTGTTGACTTGGTAGCTATGGAATGGAGAAATTCTGTGGGGTGTTCTTGCCCTGTGCCTGCACCCCACACTGCTCAGGTTGAGGGACACTTGGGTAAATACACTGTGCTAGAGTGAAAGCTTCAACCATTGCACACTTCCCTCGTGAAGAGCCTGGTTCTGTAGCCAGAGCTGGATGAAAGAGCATGCAAGTAGCTGTAATTCAGAGGAATAAGACACTGAAGACAAGCCTGCCTTTTACATTGCTGCTTGCATTGCTCGCACCATGTTTTCAATTGGAAGTACAACATTCTAGTTAGGACTTGCACATAAGTATGTGAGTTCCATTCCTAATGAAAAGCCCCAACCCAAGGACTATTTATAGAAGCAGCACAGGCTGAACTGCACAAGCTCCTCCACCAGCCTGCCTAACCAGCTGGATGCGAGGGGTGGTTGCAGTGATGGGGCACTGGGGCTTGGTGCCCGTTCACTCCTTCACTTAAAAACACTTCAAATTGCCACAGGGTTTATATCAAGTGAGGAGGAATTGGACCCAGCCCTATATAAGCTGAAATTCAGACTGTTGCTGGGGCCGGTTTGAGCTGCATTTCCCTGTGCTTTTAATCTTCCATGCAAAAGAAAGATGACAATCTTACAGCAGACGGACCACTTAAGCTATACTAAAAGAAGTCAGACCACACATCATAAAACAATACGTCCAGACATATTTAATGCAAGAAAGTTGGTGTTCAATGGCACTCATAAATAAGAGACTTTGTTCAACACTTTACAAGTAAAGCTCTCAGTTATACTACATTAGCAGGTACTTTTGAGGAAGAAGCAGCTGCAGGGGGTAATTTAAGTTGCATGAAGACTTGAATGACCAAACTGCATCAGATAGGGTTGAAGTGAGAATCATCCCATCGTCAGGCTTCAAACTGGGCTATAAAGTTTGTTGCTGGGCTCCATCACTACTCCCCTTAGTTTCTTCCTCTTCTATTACTAAATCTATACAGTGGAACTGAGCTGAGGAGGAGCAGCAACAGGAATGAGGGCACATCTATGTGCTGTCCTGATACAGTTACCTGAGAGAGGAAGAGCGGGGCTCTTCCCATCCCTGCAGCTGAGAGGCCCTTGCTCTTCAGTATGGATTTAACTTCATCCGTAAGTGCTTCGGCTGCCAACAGCTCTGACAGTGGTTTCTTTGTACCCCAAACAGTTCCCAATGGCCCCAGCATAAACGTGGTTGTTGCTGAAATCTGAGGCTTTTGCTTAATGCATTCAAAAGGAGCAGGGAGAGCCCAAAGTGTTTAAAGAATAGAAGGGTTCCACTGCTTAAAACATGCATGCTAACCAGTTTTACAACTGCGAGCATGTCCTACCTGATTTACTTACAGCTTAAGTCCACTGTGCATTCCCAGCAGGGGAATGAGTGATGGCTGTCTCATAGAGCTGACATTATCGTGCTTCTATATTAAATATGAACAAATACACATCTAGAAACAAGACACTCCACGCTGTGTAACACCATCTTAAACTGCCTAGGAACTGCATGTCTGGGTGAAACAGTAAATATGAATTTCAAAGCAAGTGCCACCAGTGGAGTTTCACATTTTGCCCTAAGAAGAAAACACTCTCGTGTTGGGGCTACACTATAATTTAGGATTGTTCTGGAGGGGGAAATCGCCCATACAGCCACCCCCATTTCAGGGCAAAGTCAATGTTGAAGGCTGATGTCTCCCAGCAAACCTTCACATTTAAAACTGCTTTTGAGAACTCCTTTGCAGTTATAGCTTCCTATTTTGGGAAAACAATATCAGGAAGGGGAAAACAATCAGGTTGCAACATTATCAGAAAGGCTTCTTTGGTTTGGTTCAAGTTCAGCTTCATCCAACACTAAACCATGACCCCAAAGCCACCCAAAGAGGGTCACGGCTTTGTTTCCATAGTAAGAGTCCTCCAGATACTTCTCACATGGAGAAGCTTCAGTGTTTTAAGAAGGAGGGCTATTCTGCATGACACTGGCACACCTAAATACCCAGTGTGTTACTCCATAGTTGCTTTGCTCCATAAACATTTGTCAAAGACCAACACCCAGATGTTTAAAACGTGTTCTTTCAATAGCGGCTGGGGTGAGCACGTCTGGAAACCTTCCAACTCTCTGCAATTTACTGGCATAGAAATGCCATTTGAATTAGCTGTTAGACCCACTGTGGTATTTGCATTCTCATTTATTCACAGCAAAGTTCAGAATACTTGGAGGCTGCTGCAATACTGGAAACAGCCGATGAATGATTAGGTGAAGCTGGAAGTAACATGAAGCAGAGAACATCAACAACGTGACACGGATATTGAGATCACTCTTTCGATAACTCCATCCCAAGGGAAAACGCATCACTGGGTTTTGGAGTTGAATCGGAGAGCAAAATCTGTTTCCAGGCCTGCAGACACATGAGTGTGCAATGCAGGCTTAGCCACAGTGGTACTAATGATATTGATAGGATTGAAAAGAGAAAGTGCTTTCCATAAAGGTAGACTCATGTCTCAAAGTGCTTTTAGTCTGTCAGTGATTAGAAAACATTCTCTACAAGTTTTTACACTTATCTTACAATGATTCTCAGCAAGTTTACTTAGAAGGAAGATCCCAGGTTTCTGGATTCAGGAAGTTGGGATTGAACACTTTGGTCTATTATGAGGCTGTATTTCTCGCTCTGTAGTGTTTTATACTCTTTAAGGCTACTCATATCTCTCACCCCATGACATAACCATCACTGGAGGCACTGGCAGGAAGAGGGGGCAGGCTTGCACCCAGCACCCAGACAAGCACTTAGGGAAAGCAGCTCCCTTAGGTGTCACTGCAGGCATTCCACACACCAGGAGCATCGAACACTCCACAATTACACCTAAATTCAGCCTTCTTCATCCCCGAAATCAGAGAAACCAAAGCCAAGTCTCGGTATAACAGTTTAGAAGGACTCTATGGCTTGGCTTTTAGAGGTGGGGTTTACATGGGAATGAAGTGGCAAGAGACCCCTTGAGGAAAGCACCACCAGCACAGCACCTTGGTGGGTCACTGACACCCACCAGCTGATAAAGGAAAAGGACTGCTCAAGGTTTGAAGCCTCCAAAGTGCTTTACAGCCACCCATCCAGGCCTCACAGCCTTCCTCCATGAGGAACAATCCCCAAGAGAAACACTTACAGTGACCAAAAGGCATCGGAAAGCAAGGGCCCATGATCCCAAAGCTGCTCCCTGGGGAAGGGGGCTCAGACCTTGGGGCAGAGCTGTCCCCAGCTCAGCAGGACAGGCACTGAAAGCCAAGAGCTTGTTTTAAGGCACTGAAGTAACTGATTTGCTTAAGGCTGTTGTAGGAGGTTAGGATGTAGACATCCTGAACTCCATTTCCATCCGATCAGCCTCACATTCTAACTTTAATTCCCCTACATTTAGCTTGCATCCGTTAGGCACATCTCCAGTTGGTTTCTCCCTTTTCCTGACCATTTTGATTTAAACCAACTGAAAAACTCAACTGAAAACCATCTCTCCAGTGGTGATGCTCTTTAAAGAGAACAGGATACTTCCTGGCTTTCTTAGGAGACCTATCAGTCTGCAATTTTGACAGGAATACAGTTGGGGGGAAACAGGAGAAGGAAAACCATGTTTGCTCACGTAATGAGACAGCAGCTTGGCCTCTGTAGTAACTACTCTCCATGACAGTCATCCAAGAAGAGTCCAGGTCCCAGGTTCACTCCCCACCTTCTCCATCAGTGGTTTCAAGCAGTGCGTTTGCCAGGCTGGGTTGGGACCATCCCCAAAGAGAAGCAGATGACCAAGTGAGATGCCTTCTTCTCGCTCCCCAGCCGGATGAAGGTGGCAGAGCAGCCCTGAGGACAAGCCTATCGGTGCCCGCTCTGGTAGGTGTAGGAGATGGGCTGCCGGGCCCCAGGCCTGACCGTGAAGGTGTTGGTAGGTCCGCTGTACTGCGAGGTGCCATGGAGAGGTCTGGAGGGAAAACAGAGGGAAAGTCATTGAAATCCAAGGAAACACTTTGGGTTTATTCAATATTGCAATGATATATTATTTTATCTAGTGGAGCAGGGTGGCTTTTGTCACCTTTTGTCTCCATTCAGTGGCATGGAGTGGAGAGGACCATAGGCACCATGGTTATGGCTGGGACCAGTGCCACATCCACGGTTCTGGACGGAGGTGGCAGGAGAAGAGGAGCAAGCATAGCCAGGCATTGAGTGGCACCGCATGAGCCAAAGGGCAGTGCCTTATCCCTGTCCTCTCCTTCCCATCCCTCCCCTCCTTAAACCAAAGGCACAGGGGAAGGCACCAGCTCAGGGCTCCACGTACCTGGGGGCTGCCCCCACGCTGGGGGGTGAGAAATCCCCATTCTGCCCCTTGTACTTGGCATCGGTGCTGCCGTACGGAGCCGCTTTCCCAGCGGCATCGAGGGACGTCCTCCGGCCCTGGCCACTTGTGGGGCCGTTCCTATGGCTGGAGCCGAGACGACGGCTGCTGTCCCCGGCCGAGGAGCTGTAACCCCCGGGGCCATAGGAGGAGAGGGTGCCCGAGGCACGGGGGGGTGCAGCAGCCCGGGGGTAGGAGCTGTCGGGCTCGGAGACATAAAGGCGCTTCTTGATGAGCGGGCGCGGGTTGGGGCAGCGGCCGATGTACCCGGCAGAGCTGCTGTAATCCGGGTACTGCGGCACCACGTCGCTGCTCCCCCTGCTCGGCTCCAGGGCTGGGGGCTCATGGTTGCCCCCATAGTTGCGGCCGTAGCCGGGCCACCTGAAATACCGCGGGGGCTCCGAGCCCCGGCTGCAGTCGGGGAAGCTGGGGCACTTGCGGTTCTCCTCCCGGCTCGGGAGAGGCCCCTCGGTCTCATCCGCCTCATTGCTGAATTCAGGGGGTGGGGGGATAATCCCATAGTCCAGCACTGTCTCCCCGTTCTCCTCCTCCCTGCGCACGCTGTGGCGGGCTGGGATGGGCTGTTTCCGCTGCCCTGGCTCAAGGAGACCTCGCAGGAGGCTGGAAGCATCAGCCCGCCGGTACCCGGGGATGCTCAATGGCTGCGCATCACCCGCGGCGCGGGTATCCCGGCCCTGCTCCGAGGAGCTGGAGAAGGATGGAGGTCTGCTCCATCCCGACCCCGCTGTTCCCACCGCAGGCGGCCGGGGCACCACGGTGAAGGAGCCAGGCTTGGACTCGTGGCGGTAGAAGCTGGTGGAGGCGGTGTCTGACAAGGCACTGCTGGGTTTCAGGGGCAGCTTGGCCCGTGGCACGGCTCCCACCTCACCCGCCTGCCGGCCCCGCTGGGCGCGCTGCCGGGCTGCCAGCAGCAGAGCCATGGGGGACCCCGGCTCCACGCGCTCGCCCGTCACCGGGTGGATCAGCTCCTCCTCTTGCCCTGCTCCCGAGGGGCTCCTGGACAAGCCCATGGGGCCGGGTGGCTCAGCCGGGCTCGAGGCACAGGGTGGCTCGGCTGAGCTGGCCCCAGCCCGGTGCACCTTGTACTGGAAGATGGGTACATCGGGCTGCGGTGCTGAGCTCTGTGCAGGAGAAACAGGGGGTGATGGGGTGGGAGCAGGGGGCTCCTCCGCAGGGCCCTGAGCTGGGTCTGGGGGGCTCACGCTGCTGTTGAGGGGCTCAGGAGAAGGGGTCGAGTTCTCTGTGGTCTTGCTTGTGGCAGGAGCGGGGTGGTCCTCGTGCCCCGTCTCATCCTTCTCCACTGGGAGCGGGCTTGGGGCTGGTTTTGGCAGCACTGGTTCACCTGGGTCAGGAGGGCTCTTCCTCAGGTCAGGAGGGCTCTTCCTGAGGTCAGGAGGGCTCTTCCTCATACATGGGGTGCTGCCACCATCCTCAGAGCCCTGTTTCTGGCTGCTGAGCCCCATGGCAGGTTTCCCTTCTTTCTTCAGGGACAGCACAGCCTCCAGCTCATTCCTGATCTTCATCACGCTGCGGGGCTGTGCGCTGGAGCCGCTGTCCGGAGCGGGGAGCACCGTGCTGGGAGAGCCACCATTGGCAATGGGGATGCTGCTGGGCACCTCTTTCTTCTCACTCTTCCCTTCTGTGGGTGACTGCACGTCCTTCCCTGCAGGTTGGGGCACACTGATGCTGGGTTCGTGGCTGCTGGTGTGGTTGGTACCAGCATCCACGGGCTGGGGAGCAGCCGGCTTCTCCTCCCTCCGTGGGGAGCGCAGGAGGGCAGAGAGCTCGTGCCGCAGCCTGCTCAGGTTGGCAGCATCCCTCCAGTCATCCTCAGCGGTCGGGTAGTCCGGAGGAGGGAGGTCCAGGTCGTTGGCAGTGAGAGGCTCGGGGTTTGCAGGAGGAGAGGCTTTCTCGGCTGTTTTTGGCTGGGGAACCCTCTCCACCTCGGAGCCTGGCTGCGGGGACTGGTGACCAGCAGGAGTCACCCCTTGGCTGAGCCCTGCACCCGGCTTGGGGCTCAGTGGTGGGGGTGTTGGCTTCGTGGTGGCCTGTCTCAATGGGGAATGCCTCTGCTCAGCTTCTCCTGCGTAAGCCTTGGCTGCGGGTCTGATGGTGAAGCAGGGAGGGAGCGGGGGCCGGGCATGGGGCTGCCTGGGGAAGGGCTCCTGCCCCATGGGCTGGTTCTCCTGCACCGGGATGGAGGAGGACCGGGCTGGGGCTGGCGGGGGCACCTTGAAGGACCTGGGGAAGGTGAGGTGGGGCTCGGGACAGTGCTTGGGCTGCAGGCTCTCCTTCGGGCCAGGGCCAGCAGGGACCCCAGGCTCGGCAGGGCAAAGCGGTCCCTCAGCATCCGCCTGCCTCGTGTTTAGCACTGTCTCGGACTTCCACTTGGAGATGCCGGTGCTGAAGGGAGCCGGGGCCCGGCTGAGTGGAGCAGCTCCCGGTGGGGCTGGCGGGATGAAGTCCGGAGGAGCCGGTGTGCTGGGCGAGGGCAAGGCAGAGGATGGAGGCGGCGGAGCTGCCATGGCAGGAGGGGGGGGCACCACCTCAGGTGGTGGTGGTGGGGGCAGCGTTTCGGGTGGTGGAGGGACCGGTGATGCTGGTGGTGCTGGTGCCGGTGCTGTTGGAGGGGGTGGTGGGGGCACCGATGGCGGCGGAGGGATCTCTTCATCCAGGTCATCCCCATCGAGAGCCTGCGGGCGCAGGTCCCCCACCGAGCTGTACATGCGGTAGTTCCCATTGACCTGGGAGCCAGATCCTGCAAGGAAGAGCGAGAGCACGGCAGTATGAGCACCTTCTCCATCAGCACAGTGATGGCCAGCACTGCCTCTGGCCAGCTATCCCCCTAGGAAAGCAGTTTGTATTGCTGAGCAGCTCTTTAAAGCTGGCAGCACTGTAACAGCCACTACACCTCACCCCTTAGAAATGAATTCATTTCCAGTGACTTCAAAACCAAACTGATAGTAGACTGTTTTAGGGTGAAAATCCCATGATCACACTGTCTGCTCCAGAGCTTGGTACCCGCATCCTTCCTTCCCCAAGGGCACGCTGCTGCTGAGCACTCAGTGCCCCCCAGGACTCAGCAGAGAAGATCCCTTACCAAGAGATGGTTTTTCCTCAAAGTCCTCTGGCACTGACGGCGTTGGCACAGCCACCCCATGGGATTCCTGGGCATTCTGCAGTAGTTGAGAAGAAGGAGCTGTTAGTTTTATACCCAGCACATCAGAGCACAGCCCCCAGCCTGCATAACTGGTATTCTGTCCACACAAACAGGAACCTGATGGGATGCAGGGCTGTTTCCAAGACATGGAGTTATAGGGCTTAAAGGGATGAACAATAAAGGTTGCACAAGCCACAGACACAATCCCCCTGTGCTGGGCAGGTGAAGAGGGGCTGGAGAGGTGCATTGACATCTACATTTAGGGCTCCCCAGCATCAGTTCCTCACCATTCACATCCCAAGCATGGGTTTTGTGGGCACTGCTCCTCACCAAGCACAGTCAGGTACACACCACACTGGAGTCACAGGGAGACTTCCAGCTTTCTGGGAAACAGCAGATGTGAACACTGAGGAAAACTGCTGCTTGTGTGGCCTGTGTTTCACTCTCAGTTACTCCCTTTGCGTTCCTGCTGAACACTGAGCAGTGCCTTTAGCTGGTGCAGGACCGTGCAATTTAGCAGCCTACACATCTGTGAGGATGCTTTGTGTAATTACAGCCACCCGCCATGAGATATTCATGGCACAGTGACTCACCTGCAGGGCTGACCAGGGCTCCTGTACGCCTACCAGGAGCAGAAAGCCTCTCCTTCCCTCCACTGACTCACTGCAGGGAGATTGCAGCTGCTCATCACACCTACGTTAACGTGTCCTGAACACAAGCTGATGCTGAATCAGGCTGTCAGCACAGGCGTGACGGAGGCAGTGGCCTGGACTTCCACATACCAGCACTGGGAGAGACCCACAGCACAGAAACAAGGCTCCATGAGCAGCAGAAGCTCGCAGACCCCACGGGCAATGGTCAGGGACACACTGTCCCATTCCCAGGGTCCACCCTCTTGCACTCCTACTTACCTGGGGCAGGTGTTTGCATTAGCTGTTAACAGCCCGTTATCCTGCCATCAGCCTGCACCAGCTCACTGGTGTTCTGCATACAAAAGCCTAGATAATAATTGAGCCGTGCCCTTTGCCTTTCACTGGTATTATCACTATTTCTACAGGAGATTGCTACGGGATTCCAAAGTCTCCTTGATCAAAGGTTAAGCTGGGTTTATACAGCCAGCCCCATCCAGGGTGCAGACAGTGCATTAGCATCAATCACACACTGCCCTGGGCATGGGGAATGAGGAAGAGGGGAGCTGCTGGGGCAGAGCTGCCTTGAGAAGCAGCAGCCTGGGCTCCCGCAGAGAGCTTCTGACAAAGCAATAAGGAAATACAGGTTTCGCTTGCAAAGTCCATCAGATGGACCGAGGATCCTCTATAACCACAAAGGGAAGGAACCAGCTATTGGCAAGCCAAGAGAGAGAGGAAATTCGCATTCCTGGGATTGCACAACCGAACGGACAACTGCATGCTGATGGAGAAGGCGAGGTTTGCTAAGGCATTAGGACAGCTCTGTTTGTGGTAAAACAACAGACTAGGTGAGCCCCATAGCCTCAGCTGAGACCTCTTTACTGCTCCCAAAGATGCAGTACAAGGAAAGATCCTTAACTGCAGCTGGAAGCCAGAGGGAAGACAAAGGCTAACAGAGGCACTTCAAGCGCCGATAATGGAATTGTCCAGAGCAATGAGATAACAACCACAAAGAGGAGTATCTAAACCAGCTCCAGCATTCCCATTTGCTATGGAAATGCATTGCTGCCAGTCTGCAGAGCACACGGAGATCTGCTCATTTGCAGCGAAACAAAGATGCCCGAGCACTGCTTTCCAAGCACCATGAGCGTCACATGTTTGGGTAGGAGTAGAAAGGGAATGGCAGTCGGAAGAGATCTATGCAAAGCTGGAGGAAACAGTCCACATAAAGGAGGAGCGATCTGGGACGTGTCATTTCAGCAGGGCCTCAGGACTGGGCGAGCCTGTTCCACACCAAAAGTTTCTGCAGCAGTTGCGAATGCTCAGCATCTCTCCAAACCCACCCATCCCCACGTCATGAGCTGGCCTCTGAAATGGAAAGCATCTCCATACTGCCAGGCTCCAGAGATGGACTGGGAGATTGCTTCCCTGTGTTTGCTCGGGGTGTGCCCAGCCCAGCAAAGCTCCAGCTGATTCAGAGCAGGGCTGGGGGGGCGGTGCGCCAGGAACCAGCATTTCCAGTTTGCGGTACCTGAATCAGATCCCGGAGCGGGGGATCCCGGCGGGGGAGCTTTCACTGCAACCACCAGGAATCGCTTTTCAGCACCAGCGCACAGCCAGGACCCCCCTGTTCTAGTGAAGGGGACCTGCCTGTCCTCACGGTCCCCAACTCCCCGGTCTCTCAGGAGCCCATGATTCCCATAGAATCCCAGCCTGGTTCGGGTTAAGGGACCTCAGAGCTCCTCCAGCTCCAACCCCTGCCATGGGCAGGGACCCCTTCCACTGGAGCAGCTTGCTCCAAGCCCCTGTGTCCAACCTGGCCTTGAGCACTGCCAGGGATGGGGCAGCCACAGCTTCTCTGGGCACCCTGTGCCAGCGCCTCAGCACCCTCACAGGGAAGAGCTTCTGCCTAAGAGCTCAGCTCAGGCTCCCCTCGGGCAGGTTCAAGCCATTCCCCTTGCCCTGTCCCTACAGGCCCTTGTCCCAAGCCCCTCTCCAGGTTTCCTGCAGCCCCTTTAGGCACTGGAGCTGCTCTAAGGTCTCCCCTTCAGGAGCCTTCTCTTCTCCAGGCTGCCCCAGCCCAGCTCTCTCAGCCTGGCTCCAGAGCAGAGCTGCTCCAGCCCTCGCAGCATCTCCGTGGCCTCCTCTGCACTCGCTCTAACAGCTCCACATCCCTCATCCATTAAATGAACTGGGTTTAAGGCTGCCTCTTACAAGAAACTGAGCAATATACAACCAAAAAACATCCTGAGGTGTCAGAGGGACCAAGGCATCTCCGAATGTGAAGAGCTACCCCCAGACTCCTGGTTTTGAAGCAGAGCTATGGAACTTGGTGGTTAAAAAGAGGAATTTATTCCCCCAGGATGTCAAAGCTCTGCCAGCACCTGCAGAGCCCAGGAAGCCGGGGGGGCAGGGGGATGTGGTGGTACCCAAGAGGCAGGCAGCAGAGTCCCCTTCCTGCAATCCCTGCTGGGACTCGGGAACAGCCCAAGGGAAGGTGATTTGGGGGGAAGCATCGAGGCACAGGAAGGCTGCGGGGCAGGGTGTGTGCATCCTCCTGACTCACAGCTGTGCCTCGGAGGTGGGTGCAAAGGAAGGGTTAAGGCTGGAGCTGCAGAGCAGCTCAGTGCAGACAGGGACGTGGCAGCGGGAGCGCCTGTGCCAATTCCAGTCCTAATCAAACCTCATCAGAATAATGCAAACACCCAGCACAGACCAGTCCTTCCGAACTGTTTCAGTCCTACTGATTTCCTTGGTTAAACCTGTTACTCTTGGAAGAGGAGGACAGGTTTGTAAGGGACCCTCACAAGAGCATTAGAGGGGAGAAAAGCCCCAGAGCCAGCAGGAAAGCACCATGGCTCAGGCAACATCCCTGAGCGTTTCTCTCAAGGGCATACATACTCTTTATTCCCCTATCACATACACTTCCACTGCTATAGCATCTGAAAGCTATAAGAAGGTGGAAAAGGCCACTTGCCCTCTAGAAACCTGGAGGGATGGGGTGCCCACTATGGTTGCACACCCAAATTGTGCTACTGGAGATGAATCTCTCAGGACCACTCTTACAGTTCCCAGGCTCAGATCCCAGATGAGGTTTTTTGCTATGATCTTTAGGAAAGCATCACAGAGGGCACAACCCCTTTGTAGAACCTGTGTAACCCCATAACCCCCGGATTATGCTCTCCAATGGATATAATAGCCCCTCCCAACAGTTGTCACCCCCACCCCAAACTGTCCTCCCAGTGACACCCGCACAACCCCAGGAACTCCCAATGGCACTCGGATGACAGCAACCAGCCCATTCTCTGCTGGAGGTGGTGGCTGCTCTAAAGGACAAGGATGTAGGAGGAAAACCATCCTTTGCTGTCAGAGAGGATTTCCTTGTCAAGACCAAAGGCTTTGATGTGTTTGACTGTCTTTAGTGACCTCCAGTGACCTGCACTTCCGATTTAGCTATTGCCATCTCCAGACTATCTCTGAGCAATCAGCACCTCGCTGTACTCACACACACAGCAGCAGGGTTGAAGCCAGCAGGGAGTGTGTGTGGCTTCTGGAGTCCCAGCTGGGTTAAAGCCACCTCCAAGCCCTCTGGGTCTGGCTGCTTTGGCACTTGCTGCTCAATCCCTGCATCCAGATGGAGCACTGGGAATGGTTTCCCTTATGCAGGGATTGAGAATCCTCCTCTGCCCAGACACCTGCTGCATCACCTCCTTGTTCCTCTGCTGTAAACAGGGCACAGCTCTGCTATTGCTGTCTCCAGCAACATGAGTGATCCGGAGTCAGATACTGCCAGCAGCGGTGAGATAAAACGTGGTGCAAGCCAGATCTATCATCTACATGCTCAGCAATTTCTCCTTTAATTGAAAATACAAATCTAATGATGCTTACGTCTGATGCCTGAGCATCTTGCTTATGTCCAACACAGCCTTGAACTCAGATCACCTCCTAATCCCTCGTACCCAGCATTATTATAGAGTGGTTCTGCTTTTCATTTCCTTTCTTCCCTCGGGTAGAGGATGAGAGCAGCAGCCAGCCCAGCTGGTTCTGGGCACTGCCACAGTGAATCCCAGCACCAGGCTGGATACTCACAAGGGGTAAGAACGTCAGCAGCGGCCGGACTCTCGGACGTGGTTTCAGCGTTGCCGTGCCAGAGTCAGTCATTGTCCCAAAGCGATTGTCGCCATAATACACTTCAATCACATCACCTGAGGGGAAGAGGAGACTGTTAGGATGCAACAGGAAAAACACGGACACCGCCTCATTTCTGTGAAGAGTTTGCTGTATGAGCTCCCAGGAATGGCCAAAACCCATGAGATTCTGAGGAATATCCAAGTGTTTTGAAGATGGGGAGAGAAAGGTCCCAAGTGCTGGCAAAGCAGCCCCACGCTGCAAGGCAAAGAGCCTTCCCAGATGCTGGGGTTTAATAAGCACAGATGTCAAGGTCTGTTCTGAAAGGCTTATTTCTAATCGTAGCTAACTGAAATGTGCCTCGGGAAGGGCAAAAGTTAGCAGAAGCACTCAATTCACTCCCCACCCAGGTGATGCTTAGGGAAGGAAAATGCATCAGTAGCAGCTGTATAGTGCCACGAGGTTCTGACCCCTGGGAGAGCAGGCCCAGGGCTGGCACCCACAGCCCAGCTCATGGACTTGAGGACCATAAAAGTCTTCTCCAGCCTAAACAGTTCTGTGCTAAGCTTGGTCAGGACCTGACCATGACCAATCCATCAGCAGCTGGAATTGAGGGGAGAGGCAGCAGCAGAGCCTGACCCCACCAGGTGGAGGGAGGGAGGCTCCTGCCCTTCCTCACCTGCTGACCATTGCATCCAAGTTAATCACAGGGTCTTCTCTCAGCCCTATCATGGCACAGCAGAGGCCTCCCTGACCCTTGCCTTGTGGCAAGCAGGAAGGGGTGAGCAGAGGGGAATACCTCACTGCACTGCTCGGACACAGCGATGGAACTGGGACACACAGGGGCTTCCCAAGGAGGACTTTCCCCTTGTTTTAATCCCATCATCCAAGGGCAGCAGGAGGGAGGTGATGCAGCCGCTCTCCCTGCTGCGGCTGACCACCACCAGCATCCCTAGCTGTGCTGCTGAGCAACCTCTGACCCCTGATGCAATTGGTACCGGGGGGACAAACAGTGCCTGCCACAACACATTGACACCTCAGCCTGCCTTACAGAGACGTGCTCTGGGCATCATCCCACAGAACACTGCTCTCAATGAAGGCACCATGGCAGAAAGCAGCGTTACAAGCAGGAAAAGCCACCGGGTCCCCCAGGTTCCCAGCCCTGTGCTTTTACCCTGAACCACACCTTTTTGGGCCGGTTTATTTCTGACCGTGAATAAAGCTCATAAAATTAGTGTAATTACGCTCTTTGTGTCTGATTAACAGCATGAATTAACAAGCAGAAGCACCGGAGCACGTAAACCCCACCTTGGCTGGAAGGAGAGACACAAATCGTAGCCAGGGAGACAAACATTAAAGGGAAAACGAGGGAAGGAGGAGGAAAACAAGCAAAATGGCTGTGAGCAGAGAGGGAGCTGCAGGAGTGTTCCCAAACAGCCTTCCATAGGGGTTTCAGTGAGAAGAAAGAAGCAAACAACCTCCCTCTCCACCCTGCAACACCAAGAAGTGAAGAGCTGAGGTTTCCCCCCACTAAAAGAGCTTGGAAGCGAACCCTCCCACTAAAGTGTGAAGCACAGAAAGTTTCCATCCAGTATCAAGCAGTTAAAAGCCAAGGAGCAGAAAGATGGAGGCTGTAAAAGCCCCACACTGAGGCAAAGGGGCCGGGCTGCACTTCTAAGCCCCCCCAAACCCAAAGCAGGATTGCCTGCCTGCCTTAGGAGCTGGCTGGTGGTGACACCAAATCCCTGCCCTCCTTGGACAGGCAGAGATGGGGCAAGAAGCTCGCAGGGAAACAGAGCTTTAGTGAGGAAAGAGGAGGGCAGAGGCTTCTGTGAGCAGTCTCACTGATGAAAAGCACTTGCATGAGCACCTGGAATGAAGAACCCGGCCACAGCAGGGGCTGGGCAGCAGCTACCACAGCCTCTGCTGCATTCATAGTTCGGAGGCAGATGAATTCCACACAGCCTTGGAACCTGCCACTGCGTCCGGCAGGAATGCCAGCTTCTCCTTTCTCCCACCCACTGCACCACAAGCTACCCTGGGGTACACCCAGGAGCATCCATCCTGCTACCACTGCCCTTATGGCCAGCCACGATGTCCTCTCCCTTCCACTACAAGGGGTCCTTTACATAAAGGACGTTTTCACAGAGCCCCAGACTGGTTTGGGTTGAAGGGATCTTAAAGCTCCTCCAGCTCCAACCCCTGCCACGGGCAGGGACCCCTTCCACTGGAGCAGCTTGCTCCAAGCCCCTGTGTCCAACCTGGCCTTTAGCTTTCAAAACACCAAGCACTTCAGTGTGCGTGGTCCTACCAAGAGTTAGCAGGGGACAGGAGGAGCTGCTGGCTTCTCAGGGACAGCAGAGGTGCCATCAAATGATCATTATTTTCCCATATTGCCCTGAGTGACCCCAAATCCAGTGAGTAAGCAGCAAGAATTAAGGCCAGTGCAGCGTGAGAGTTTGGATTCAGACAGTTTGGTGGAGCAGTGATAGAGTAGTTCAGAGACTTGAAATGATGGGAGTTTACATTAAACAAGGCACTAGGTAAACCCAGTGAGAAACTGCATTAAAGATCACAAGGTCTTTGATCCTAGATTACTAAGCATCCCTAACCTGAATGTGCTTAATTAAAGTCAAATGAGGTGCTTGTAATTGTGTTTCCTTTGCTAGATAAACAGGACTTGCCTGCTAAGAGCCTGTCACCAGCAAGACCTGTGCTCTGCCAGCCTCGTTTCCTGGAAGGAGGGATCAGGAAACGCCTTTGGAGGCTGTAGGAAGCGGCTCCCTTCCACCTTGACTACGCTTTGGGCACTTTCTGACATTCAGCCTGTCCTGGAGTTGTGTCCTCAGCCATGGGGAATCAAGTAAGCCAGTCTGCAATGCAGGCAATGGAACTTCTCCCTCCTTGCGGGTTGCATCACCTGGAGTAGGCGCAGCAGGTTTGACGCTGGGGTATCCACAGCAAGGAGGCGGCATCAGTCACTATATTCAGGAATCTCTGAGTCAGTGACATGCAGACCTACACCCATTCCACATTGCTTAACTTGTGTTTACCTTGTACCAAAAACTAAGGTGGGGAACAGCAGCAGCAGCGATGGCATGAAGCTGCACAGCAAAGAGTCAACAAACAGCGATGGGGCTTCACCATGGCACTGCAGAAACCAAGGGGCAGGAAGATCTGAGCCATGGACTGCGGAGCTGTGAGCACAGCAATCCTGGTGAGGAGCCCGCAGCCCAGCACACGCTGCCCTGAGCACGGTCACTCCGCGCCGGTGTGTCACTCTCCCCTCCACAAATTACATTAATGATATAAATGCCAAGGGGATGCTGAGGAGTGATTCAACAGCTTTTATACAGGCTCAGGTTTCAAGGATCCTGGCTTTCACTTGGGAAGCTGATCCACACAGCAGTTCCCCACACCTGAGAGGAATGCCTTTGTACTGCAATTGCAGCCACGGAAATCAGGCTGGTAATAAGCAGACACAGCAACTTCTTTTCTTTTTCTTTTTTAAATCCAAACCACATCAGAGGGAAGCGTGAATCCTCCTCAGATTTACAGCCCGTAGAAATCAGCGCTTTTCCTTTTGTGCTCCAGAGTTACGTGAAACTCTCCGTCCCATTTTCATTTTATCTTTAGTTTCACCAGCTCAGCCTTCAGGGTGTAACCACCTTGCAACAGCATTAATGGACAAGACTTCAACACTGCACAGCTCAGCAAGCACCCAGGCCCTTCCTAAGCTTGGAAGGAGCTGTTGGAACCTTACAGCCACCAAACTTCAGCCACAACCTGCTAATCTTTTATCTACCTGGCTCCACGACTGTTAATTTGGCTCCCTCCTCCATGAGCCTCCAGGGCACAGTATTGCAATTAAAACCACAGGGAAATACAAATAAACGCGGGGAACGGGCAGCCCTCAACCCCCTCCCAGCACAGAGCCCTGCACAGAACAGGTTTCTAAAGTAAGTTAAAGACGGGGAGGCGCTGATGGAACGCGGCGTGGGAAAGAGCTGCTGGGAGCAGCACAGCGGGTCTAAAGCAGCCCGCTTTAGGCAACTTGGACTTCCCGGGGTGGGCCGGGACCCATCGGTGCCCGGCGCCGGGCTCAGGCTCCCCGCAGGCCCCCTCTGTCCCGGAGCCCGCAGAGCGCACGCCCCGCTCGGAGGAGCCCGGCTCCATGCGCCCGCTGTTCCCGCTCCCGGTCCCGGTCCCTGCGCACGGCGCTGCCCCCCCCCGCCCCGGTAGATGCCAAGCGGACACTGACCGGTGCCACCAGCGCTGTCCGAGGTCACCTCCTGCGTGAAGATCCACGGCGGGTTGGTGGCGAACAGGGAGGCGGCGGCGGGGCTGGGCTGGCGCTTCCCGAAGAGGCGGCTGAAGGTGCCCTGCACCGAGTGATGCTTCTTCATCGTGGCGAGCCCCGGCGCTGCCCGCCGCGCTCCGCACCGGCATCCCCGCCGCACCGGGGCCGCTGCCACCACGCAGGGATGGGGGGGGCCGGGCCCGCAGCGCCCCTCCCTCGGCCCCTCCCTCCACCCAGGTGCCTCCCGTTGCACCCGGGCCGCCTCTGCCCCGTGAAGCACGGGGTGGTTTGGGTTGGAAGGGAGCTTAAAGCTCATCCAGCTCCATGCAAGGACCCCTTCCACTGGAGCAGCTTGCTCCAAGCCCCTGTGTCCAACCTGGCCTTGAGCACTGCCAGGGATGGGGCAGCCACAGCTTCTCTGGGCACCCTGTGCCAGCGCCTCAGCACCCTCACAGGGAAGAGCTTCTGCCTAAGAGCTCAGCTCAGTCTCCCCTCGGGCAGGTTCAAGCCATTCCCCTTGTTCTACCACATCTGATTCCTCTCCCCAAACCCACACTACCAACCTTTTCAAGTTAGCCCCATACTGAGCATCCAGGTTTCAGATCTGCAGATGCCCTTGAGTACAAGGAAATGCCGGCCGGAGCCAGGGGAAGCTGAAGCACAATCCTTTCCCTCTGCTCTGTGTGTGTGTACTGGGAAGCAGATTAGCACTGAGCATTTGGGGAGAGCATCCAAGTCCCCATCCTCCACGTGCAGATCTCCACCAGCCACAGGGGGACTGTGCCTAGCCTTAATCCCCAACCCAATGCAACCTGTGTTGTAACTCAATGCAACCTGTGTGTTGTGAGTGCTTGGGACTTCCTTCATGTAAAAGCTTAAAGATAGTGGGACTTGACCCCAAATCTGTCTTAGTTTCGGGTACAAAAGCAAATGTCTTACACCGATGGCGATTTTCTGTGTCATACATGTCAAAAATGAGAGTTAATGAGTAACACTGGTTATTAATAAATGCTGGGATCTCTGGAGAACTTTAAACCCCAAATACCTGTCAAAACATTAACTCTGAGCACAGCTCACAGCTTCAGGGCAAAGTCACCCTCTCTTATACCCATTTCCACCACATTTTTAGAGTTAAATGATGGAGGTTTCTTTCTTTCAGTGATAAATATCACTTACTTTGGAGTTAAGATTTTTACCACTTTCTTTTTTTTTGCTACGAAGCTCAAATTAGGACACATTAAATCACCTGTGCACAGTGAAAAATGAGTACCATTAGGGTATTTCAAAAGCAAAATCTAATTATGGCATAAACTGTCTGGCAGCACTTAAAGAAAGGGAATTAAGAAAAGGAGAGTTAAAATCTTGTACCACAGGAATTCGGTCCTGCAGTTGTAGTGTAGAACCACACAATGGTTCAGGTTGGAAGGGATCTTAACCCCATCCAGCTCCAACCCCTGCCATGGGCAGGGACCCCTTCCACTGGAGCAGCTTGCTCTAAGCCCCTGTGTCCAACCTGGCCTTGAGCACTGCCAGGGATGGGGCAGCCACAGCTTCTCTGGGCACCCTGTGCCAGCGCCTCAGCACCCTCACAGGGAAGAGCTTCTGCCTAAGAGCTCAGCTCAGTCTCCCCTCGGGCAGGTTCAAGCCATTCCCCTTGCCCTGTCCCTGTCTAAAGGGGGTGTACACAATTATGCCCAATGCCCCAAGCTCCAATGGCAGCCGGCTCCCAGTCCGCTCTTGCAGCAGCGGTGCTGCGGAAGGGACAGCTCTGTGCCATGCACAAGACCTGCAATTAGCGGGACTCACGCCTTGCTGACAGTTATCTTAACTGCTGCTTGTGTGGGACAGGGAGCGGAGACAATCCTGCACACATCTGCCCAGGAACATGCCACAGGGACCCACAGTTGTGTTTCGGTTGGGATGGGAGGAAAACGGATTGTCCTGCCTGCAGGCAAGAGCAGGAAAAGAATGGAAACTGGGAAACAGCATTCCCCCAGACAGCTCTGTGCAGGACCCAACCCTGTGAACTGCAGACGTGTAAAGAAAATTCACTGACACCTCTTGAAAGCAGAAATCGGGTGAAATGAAGGACCTGGAAAGGGAGACTGACGTTAGATATTAAGCCAAAGTTCTTCCCTGTGAGGGTGCTGAGGCGCTGGCACAGGGTGCCCAGAGAAGCTGTGGCTGCCCCATCCCTGGCAGTGCTCAAGGCCAGGTTGGACACAGGGGCTTGGAGCAAGCTGCTCCAGTGGAAGGGGTCCCTGCCTGTGGCAGGGGTTGGGACTGGATGAGCTTTGAGGTCCCTTCAGCCCAAACCAATCTGGGATTCTGTGATGGGCAGGACATACGTGCTTGCTGATGTTCAGTCTTTGAGTGACCAAACTGAGCAGGATACCCAGACAAAGTGAAGGAAAAGGGGAATGAGAAGAGGAGCTATTTTAAGAAGAGACGCCAATAAAATCCCATGGAATGAGAAAGCCTGGGCTCATGCACAGCGGCGTCCTACAGAGTGTCATTGCAGCAGAGACACATCAAAGGGGCTGCAGGGCCGCAGGGATGCTCTGCAGGATGAGGAAGGTGTGATTCAGCCCCTGGAGAACTGCTCTGCCCTGGGGCAGGGGGGCCTCCAGAGCAGCTCCATGGCTGGGAGCTGTACCCAGCCACCAGCAGTGATGGTTGAGCCTCACCCTGGGTGGTGTGCGTTGGAAAACACACTCCTCACAACAGGAGGGGATGCGTGTTCCAAGGTGAGTTCATTATCCCAGTGAGCACAGGCTGCACAGCCCTCCTGCGGGAGCTCATGGGCTCCCTCCTGTCTGTCTGTTCCAGGTGAAAAACGTTTGCTCTTTACCTTCCTCCTCCTCATAAAGCACAGACCTCACCCCGGGAGACCAGGGAAAGCCCAGGGCTTGCAAGAGCAGCGTGGAAGGTTTGGGTTTGGCAGCGCATGAATGTGAAAGAGGCAGCAAAGATGCCCAGTGTGGTGGTACAGCTGCTGTTTTAAGGGAGGACAAGTGCCACTCTCCTATCTCCATCGAGGCCACACAGCTAAAGGTGGGCCGGGCACAGAGCTCAGGAAAGCACTTGGAAGATCGCCATCAGATTTTATGGCATAGAAATAGCCATGTGAGCTCTGCTCTGATGTAACACGCCGCAGTGTGAGGCTGCCTTTGATCCTATTACAGGTAAACACCCAGGAACAATCTGCCTTTGCATCAGCGTGAGGAGCTGCACCCTGCAGATGCAGAGGGTGAACCGCAGGTGTGTGAAGCGCTTGTGTGGTGCAGATCCTCATCCAGACCTGGGGAGGGATGGGAGGAGAAACCCTCCTGCCATGGACAGGCAGCAGCGGCGGCTCCCATTGGATGCAACCCTTCCCTTGTTCCATAGGAGAAGCAGCTCCCTCCTCATCTCTGTGGCTGAACCCCTGTGCTCCCCAGCACCCCATGCCCGAGCAGCCCTCCTCAGCTGGGGCCCCGCTGTGACAGCTCCCACCCTTGTGGTCACAATGGCCCCAGTGGTCACAATGGCCCCAGCAGCCACGGCATCGCTGTCTCCAGCTCCAGCACTGACATCCCCGTGTGCTGGGGTCCCTGTGTGCTGGTCCCCATCAAGGAGATGGCTTCTCAGGTGAGAGCTCATGGCTTGGCAGGAGGGATTCCTGCTTTCCCTGTCCCCTTCCTGTGGGTGGCCGGGATGGAAGGGTCCTGGTGGTGCTGGTGGGATGCCTCGTCCCTGCCCTGCTGCACCACTGTCGTCTGCAGGGAGCTCAGAGCAAACTGCGTGTGACAGAGCTGGGATGGCTCCATAGGGACAAGCAGCAGGATCAGGGATCCGTGCTGCAGGACAAGGGGGGTGGCAGCAGCACAGGACAGGATGGGCGGGGGAACCCTCATCTCAAATGGACATCTGAACCCTTGGTGATCCCTTGATTTACTGCAATCGTTGTTCTCTCTGTGACCCCACCTGTGAGGATGTTCCTTGAGAGACAGCAGGCAGTTTAGCAGGGATTAGGGATCTCTAAACACACGACTGGATGCAATAGGATTATGTGGGATTCTTCATTCAGCCACTGAGCTCTGGCAGTGCCATAAATAGCGCTGTGGACATCGAGCTGGTGCTTCCCCTCAAAGACAGGGATCACACAAGCAGATGCACTCCCCCAGCAAGGAGGATGCTTCTGCTGAGCTTTAGGTGCCCCAAGGGATGAGCAGCAACTCCCAGGGCAGCCGAACCCCATCACAAGAGTGCTTCACAAGGCACGGTACCCTGCCTGTCACTGGGAACGGCTGTCAGCCCCTATCACCGAGCGCGTGCAAGGCTTGCGCACCTCAAAGGCATCTCCATGACTTAGCAGTTGGGTTTTCAAAGCAGCCACGGCCTCTGCTCCCCACCCCAACTGCACTGCTTTAATAACACGAACGCCTCCCTGCTGGGTGGACGCAGTTGCAGTCGTGTGCGTACTTGTCTCTTATCTTCCCAAGCGAGAAAGGCCACGAGCTGTAATCATGCAGACATGGGAACAGGATCGTTTCTGAACAAATCTGTGTTCGGGGCAGGGCCACACAAACCCCACTGAAATGATGGCTGTGGCACAAACTGTGCTCTTCAGGAGTCAAAATCCATCTATTTAAATGGAAAGAATGGGGATAACATGTTGAAGTGCTGGCTGAAACAACGCTTGTCCTGAGCTCCAGCAATGGAACCTTGCGAGCATCTGGCAAATGAAATGGGGAATGGAGGTGAATCCATGGGGATGTGGGCATTTCCCTCGAAGGGGATTTCTAGCCTATTTGCTGGTGTCCACCTCTTAACAGGTTTAGGAGGCAGTGCTCAGAGCGCAGGGAACAGAAATAGAGCACCCAGTAAGCCGGGGCGTCACGGAAACTAGGAAACATCTTTAGTGGGTTAAAAATAAAGGCAGACAGCAAAGCGTTTATTTAGGATGCCCAGGAGTAAAGCAGTTAATTGCTGGGGAAGAGCCAGTTTCCATTAGCACGGAGGAGTCATCAATGAACGCAAGATAACTGAGTCATGGTTAAATAACAGCAGCAGAAATAGCTTCTCAGTCAAGCAGAGCAGCCACGGGTGACAGCTCAGCCCCACATGTTTTGGGGCACACGTTCGCACCACCTCCTCTGCAGAGAGGGGATGTAAATGCACAATGAAGCGGGTGATGGATCGAGGACCACAGGGACATAAGGTGGTGGCACTGGCTTTGCCCCAAGACTTCAGCAACGTGACCCAGCTGGTGGTGGGGAAGAGCTTTGCCTGTTATCAACATCCCGGATTTTCCCTGCACATTCCCAGGAGGGGGAAACCCACTCAGAGGTTTGGGAAGAGCAATGAGCACAGCAGCACAAGGCGCAGGGTGGTGGTAGGCACCCACAGAGTGACCTGGAGGCTGCTGAGCTGATGCCCCGGGCTGTGTTTGCAAAGGACAGTGTTATGGCTCTGTCATCACTGATACATCCCATTGTGTCTTGTGGGTCAGATGGGGTTGAATCATCTTCACAGCTGGTTGCCATCGCTGTGGTTAGGTGCAGGCTTTACAAGGAACAGGTACCGCTGTCATTTATAGCTGTTACAGCTGAGATCTTCATCTGGGACTGGGGTTCCTTGTGCCAAACGCAGAAAGAAATTGCATCCTCCAAAAGAGATGGAAGGGGAAGCCAAGTCAGACTGACAGCAGGAACATCAGAAACTGGGTAGCACTTTATATTCACTCTGCCCTGTTACAACTAACCAGCTGAAATGCAAGTCAAGAGAGAATCAAGTGCTCCGAGTCTTGCCATGGGCATTTCTCACTATGATTTCCTTCATTTTCACTAAGCCCCTTCTGTATTTCCAGTGCATCATTTGATTTTAAACTTCCTTTAAGCAATTTGAGCAACACCACCTTTGATTTTTAGCTAAAGAAATGGCAGTGCTCAAGGCCAGGTTGGACACAGGGGCTTGGAGCAAGCTGCTCCAGTGGAAGGGGTCCCTGCCCGTGGCAGAGGTTGGAGCTGGAGGAGCTTTAAGGTCCCTTCAACACAAACGAGGCTGTGACTCTATGAAATGTAACTACCTGCCTTCTCTGCATTAACACTGCCTACTGACTGCCTTTGCAATGGGCGTAAGCAGGCTGGTATTCCATAAGCTCTGCTGGTTTGCTTAACTTGCTGCTTTTCGGTTACTAGTATATAACCCTTGCATCAGGGCCTTCTATCCTGGTGAGGAGAGCAAAGTGTGTGGTCAATTGCAATGCATTTGTCTGGTTCTTTTGCCCCATAGAGGACTCAACCACCAGAAGCCCCTGGCAAAGACCACAAGAGACCAAAGGGAACAGAGGAGCCCAAAGCAAAGCAGGACATCTCCCACTCGCTGCCCATCCCAAAGAGCCAGCCACCTCCAGCACAGCACCACAGGGACCGGCCTTTGGCTGCCCACTGCATTCCTTTTGTCGCCCACTATGGGAACCATCAGCCCAATTCCTTCCATTTTCTCTTCTACCAATCGACCTGCTCCAACTCCTACAGCCCCTTCTACACGGCGCAGAAGGCAACGTGTGGGTACCGCTTCCACCGCGACACCGATCACACCAGGAAGGTGATGGATGTCCCGAGTGCAAACATTGTGAAATGGAGACCCATCCGAGGCAAAAAGCCCCAGGGAAACCCAATAAACCCCAAGAAATGAAAGCAGCGATGTGTTCTGGTGTGACTTCAGCTTCCCGCTGGGTGTCTGAGCGACAACCAGTGAGCACCCAAGGCAAGGAATGGGTGGTGAAGCTGTCACTGCTCCTCATACAAACATGCAGGGTGGGTTTTGCTGTCACATCCTAGTCCGGTTTGTCCTGTCATTTGTTGTTACCAGCTTACATGGAGGCACTGTGTGAATGGTGACCCAGCCAGGCCCATATGCACAAGGAACCTGGCTTCTGCTTGTGCTTTGAAAGGACTTCTTCTTTCACCAGGCTTCCCCCAGACACAGGCAAAGCGTTGTTCTTAGTGAATGGACAAGCACGTTTCACTTGTGGTGCTCAGAAAAGGGATGCTAATTGGAGCTGAAACTGTGGGGGGCACGTGCCTGCAGCTCTCCTCCAGAATGCAGCATGAAGTATCTAAGGCAGAAGTTCTTCCCTGTGAGCGTGGTGAGGGATTCTCATCCTGGACAACGGGATGCACCGCTAGCAGGTACTTGAACGAGCTGTTGAGCCTGCATCCACATTTAATACCCAACCTTTCTGCTATTAATGGATGTCTCAGTATTGCAACCCCTCTCTGTGCCACAGGAGGGGCTATCCCAGCCATATCCCTTTGGCAGTGGGTCAGGGTCCAGGGCACCCACTAAAGTACCACTTTGCTCACAGAGCTGTGCCTGTTGCTGCTGGCCAGTGCAGGATTAGCACTTCCCAAGCTAATTCCTTCTTTGTTTTACACTTGCAGAATGCCTCTTTCTCTAGCAGAGTTACTCCTAATTTGCAATATTGAGCTCTGCAACACATAAAACTGGGCTTTTTGTCTTAAAGTTATATAAATGGATGTAAAAGTGTTACAGTTGTCTCATCCATTTTATTACTAGTGGATGATCTGGTCCATGCTACTTTCTAAGGTTATACTTTATCTCCCAGTCCTTCCCTGAGTGATGTGCATCAAGGCAAAACCAACATCGGTTGTGGAAATATTTACATGGTAATTCATCATAAATGAAAATCAAAGCTGCATTCAACAGCACTTGCATCAGCTGAGTGCTGGTAACATGGGATGTGCCGTGTCCAGCCCTGAAGAGACAGAGCACAGGGCTCCATCAGCTGGGAGGAATGAGAGCTTCCCTGGGAGAAGATCATCACAGCGTGTGGTGTCTGCATTTAGAGCACTTAAAGCTTCACCAGTCAAAGCAATTATGTTTCTATGTTTGCCCCAGCACACCAAATTTACCCTCATGCAGCAGCTCTTATGGGAGATGAAATGGTGCCTCCCCCTTCCTGAATATCAGGCTCAGAGGAAATCCTCCAGCCAGAGGAGACCAAACCTCAGTAACAGCACTTCCGAGGGGTTCTTCTCTTTCTTCTCGTTCTGATTTTGGTCCAAAAGGTATTACTTATGTGACACCCCCCCCCAAAAAAAATCATAAATGAAATGGATTAGGAGATTACATCATCACAGAGAAAATTCCGCCCTTGTAATCCCCTGCTGGGCCTGTAATCTGCAAGACTTGCCCCTTTGACTTCCTTTCTATTTTAACCCTCAACTCTTAATGCCTGGCAGGAGCCCATCGCCACCCTGCGCCTCATTGGCCACCGGGGAGGGATTTGCTGGGTACTTAAATGTCACCTTCGTGTCCAAAGAGGATTGTGTGCTTTGGAGTTTTCCTGGGGAGAGGTGGCTTTTGCCTCCATCACCCACACAAGGGCAGTTGGGTTCTTCCCAACAAGCGATCCCTGCAGCGCCACCGACACCGAGACTCTAAAGGCAAGAAGCAGGAGTCAAGAGAAAGCCCTCAAATTCCACCAAACACCCCTTGCTTTGGCTGCAAAGTGAGTGGAGATGGGCAACATGGATGGGAAATCCGTGGAGGAGCTGAGCACCACCGAGTGCCACCAGTGGTATAAGAAGTTCATGACGGAGTGTCCTTCGGGCCAGCTCACCCTCTACGAGTTCAAACAGTTCTTTGGCTTGAAAAACCTGAGTCCTGCCGCCAACAAATACGTTGAGCAAATGTTTGAGACGTTTGACTTTAACAAGGTAAATATTGTCCTCCCCACTCGGCCTGGGCAGGGCTCGGCTCTGGGTGTGATGGGTATGGGGGGTGTTTGGGTGTATGTGGGATGGATGTCCCTGCGCATGGCAGAGGGCTTGGAACAAGATGATCTTAAGGTCCTTTCCAACCTAACTGTTCTATGACTCTATGTGTGTCACTATGGACGGTCTGGTTCCCTTTGGCATCATAAATGATAGGTATATACAGTGAAAAATGGCAGCAAGACCTCCTCATTTACTGCCTGCTCTGGGAGAAATAAGACTTGGCCCTGAGCTGATGTTTTCCTTTTAAATGACTCAAATAGTGTGGTTTTATCTGTGTCTGTGATCCCTTTCCGATGAAGTGCCCTTTAATCCTCATGTATCGAGTGTTGTGACAGTGAGGAACAAGCAAGTGGGGTGAGAACAAGTGCTGCATTCACGCGGAGACAGTGAGTTCCCAAGCGTGGCACGAGCTCTGCTTTGCAGAACAGACCTGGTTTGGTTTTCCATTGTTTTAAGTTATAGATGGATTAGAGTTTCATTGCTTTTATTACAGCTGCTCAGTCCCATACAATAAGCAGCTCAGGCCTTTTGTTGCCCATGGAAAGGCTTTGCATCTCAGGCTGTGGCTGTGCTGGACCCCTGGAGCAGGGTAGTCCCAGATCACCTGCACAAGCTTGGGAATGCTGTTTTCCCAGCTCTGGAGCCATGTGGGAGAAGCAGATGGATGCTGTGACTCCAAGGGGAAGCAGCATCCAGGGCCTTGGAGCAAGCTGCTCCAGTGGAAGGGGTCCCTGCCCGTGGCAGGGCTTGGAGCTGGAGCAGCTTTAAGGTCCCTTCCAGCCCAAACCATTCATGATTCTATGATTTTACGTTTAAGCCTTTCCCCTGTTCACTGCCCTGTGTTTGAACGCCTGCCTGAAAAGGGAATTGATGCACAGGAAATCCTGCTGGGAATGGGGCTTAGTATCAATTTATACTTAATCTGGCTCCTGCAGCAGCAGGATAAAGCAGATGATCTCTTCCTGAACTGGCCTTGATGTCTTTTTTCATGGACAAAAAGCTGGCTTATTCTCTATTGATGACTGCCCATGGTTTGTAGTGTGTACCATTTTCTTTCAAAGCACTTTCTATCCCAACAGTTTGTGCCATCAAAATGCTCTGTGGCACTTTAGCAAGCACCCTAGAAGCTGTGAACATCACAGGGGGGTGTCATTGGTGCCAATGGTACCATAACCCAGCCTGGGAGCCATCTGTGGGTCCAGCTGAATGCCCCTCAGTGCTGTGGTGTGAGCTGGTGCTCAGCAAACACTGGGGAGGGAAGTCAAAGATAAAAGTATTTGTGCTTTTGAGGTAACCAGGCGTGAAGCAGACGCACAAATGGCACAGGGACAGAGCAGCTCCTTCCCAAAACACTGGGGCAATTCCTGAGCTCGTTCCTCTCCTGAAGCTTTGCATGTGAGAAAAGAGCAGCTGAAAAGAGCTGTAAAGGATAACATCAGGTAATCCATCAGGGTTCATCTGTATAAGCCTGTTCCTCTTTGACTTCTGAATTACCACTGCTTTACATAGGCTCCTTCCGCTCAGGCTAGCTTTGAAGGTTAGTCCAAGCCATGTGCACCCACTGAGTTTGGTTGTTATCAACACATAACAGCCCTGTGTGGATTAACAGAGCCCTCAGCACATGGAGTCTCCCAGTGGGGACATCCATAAACTGGGCAGGGAAATCTCTTCCTGCCTGCCTCTTTGCTTCGAATCTCATTCAGATTCTACCCTTCTGCTTTCAGGATGGCTACATAGATTTTATGGAGTACGTGGCAGCTCTGAGTCTGGTCCTCAAAGGGAAGGTGGACCAGAAGCTGCGGTGGTACTTCAAGCTCTATGATGTGGATGGGAATGGCTGCATTGACCGGGGAGAACTGCTGAACATCATCAAGGTGAGCGGGCTCAGCCTTTTCCATTCCTATCACACACAAGGGTCAGATGCAGGTACATAGAGAGGCTGCACCAGGAATATTCCAACCCCAAGGACACCTCCCTGGTACCTGAAGAGGCAGTGGCCAAACCTGCTGCGTGTCCTCTGCCAGTCCCACCGGCCCGGCTGCCCTGCCTCGAGCACCCCACTCCTGCATGCTCAGACACGCGGCAACCCCTTGTCTCCCCATCGCAGGCTGTTTAACCACGGCCACTGCCACCCAGGCTGAGATAAGCACTTCCATTTAATCACAGGATTTTCAGAGGTGGATGCCTCCTGGCTGATCCCAGTGCGGCTGCTTAATCTTCTAATGCATCAATTGCCTTTTTAAGGGGTTTTAATCTCCGGGTTTTTTAGCAAGGACTTTTTCCTTTCAGAACTAACTGCCTGCATCAAAGCTTTGGTCTCTCACATCTGGTCACTGAGCTGCTGGTACCCACAGGTACACAAACCTCACAACACTCAGCAGTTATCCTGTGTCCTTCTTCCCCTCCAGGCTATTCGAGCCATCAACCGGTGCAACGAAACGATGACGGCTGAGGAATTCACAAACATGGTGTTTGACAAAATCGATATAAATGGAGATGGTGAGGGACTTCCTTATGCAAAGCCAGATCCTGCTCCCAGCTTCCCCCCTTCCATGCAGGCCACAGCAATTCCAGATGCAGGATGGCCCAAAGCACCAGGATGTGAGGAGAGCTGGAAGAGAGCAGCTCCCCATGAGGGTTTAACTCATCCCCTCCATGGGCTGGAGCCAGCCTGAGGGGACACTGCACACTGTCCCTCTTTGAACTGGCAGGATTTAGCTGGGATGGGGTTTGGGGTATACGACACAGACCTGGGACATCAGGAAGGGCCCCATGGTATGGTCCATGTAACTCTGGGGGGATGCAGTGGGAGCAGAAAGGCTGCAGGGCTGAACAGACCTTTCCCAATGTGCCCCTGCAGGTGAGCTTTCCCTGGAAGAGTTCATGGAGGGCGTGCAGAAGGATGAAGTGCTGCTCGACATCCTCACCCGCAGCCTGGACCTGACACACATCGTCCGCTTGATCCAGAACGATGGGAAGAACCCACACGAGCCGGAGCAGGAGGCAGAGGCTGCCCAATAGGCTCCCGGGATGCTTTCCCTTTGTCTCTGCTTTCCCCCCTTTGCATCCTTAAAACAAATGTGTTTGTGGGAGCTGCCCCAGCACCAGTGCAGCCAGTGATAGACTATAGGGACCAGGGTCTGCTCCTAAGCTACTGCTCCCCTGGCACATGGCTCTGCCTTGGTCCTGCCCAGTGCAGCAGTGAAAAGATGATGGCAGCTGATCGTGCTGGAAGCACACATCTCCCCCCGGGACTGCCAACGGGACCTCTTGTGTGATGCAGGGACACAGTGCACCCAGAGAGCCTCACACCAAGCAGCGGCCAACACCAGCATCTGCAGGGGATGAGCCCCAGGGCTGCCGGCACTTGGCCCTGGTGAAAGGAGGTCCCCAAAGGACACATGTCTGAAACTGGCCCAGCAGACCCGAACCTCCTCTCTCCATACACATTTCCAGAGCACAGGATCAGAATTTTGGCCGTTTCTGCTTTGATTTGCTATTATTCTGTTAGCAATCGTTAATGATCATGTGAGAGCATGGCCCAGGGAGGTTGTGAATGCTCCATCCCTGGTGGTGTTCAAGGCCAGGTTGGACAGAGCCTTGGGTGAGATGGTTTAGTGTGAGGTGTCCCTGCCCATGGCAGGGGGTTGGAATGAGACGATCTTAAGGTCCTTTCCAACCCAAACTGTTCTATGATTTTAAGATAAAAACAATTATGAGCTAGAAAAAGGGGAGTGGTGAATGCAGTGGCTCCTCTTTGTTTTTAAAGCATTAAAAACACAGAATGGTGCCTTTTTTTAACAACTCTCTGAACTTTCAGGGCATGCTATTAGATCTTAGCAGAAGCTCTTCCCTGTGAGGGTGCTGAGGTGCTGGCACAGGGTGCCCAGAGAAGCTGTGGCTGCCCCATCCCTGGCAGTGCTCAAAGCCAGGTTGGACACAGGGGCTTGGAGCAAGCTGCTCCAGTGGAAGGGGTCCCTGCCCAAGGCAGGGGGTTGGAGCTGGAGGAGCTTTAAGCTCCCTTCCAACCCAAACCATTCCATGATTCAGTATTTCTCTTTGAAATACCTGGCAGGGCTGTGATGGCAGTAACCTGAGAGGGAAAAAGCTGTGCACATCTGTAGGAAGATTCCTCTGTGTGTCATCAGCTGCACAACAAAACCTCTCCTCCAAGTCACACTCTGTGGCACCCTCGAGTGGTTTTAACTACAACGGCAGCAAACTGCACACGGTCTGAAGGGCTGTGCTGCTAGAGATGGGCCGGACACCACGTCCGCACCATGAGCATCCGCAAGCACCTGAGTATTCCTGAGCAGGTAGTGGGTACCAGCCATGGCACAGTGGGCTCAGGGAACATCCCCTGTGGAATAAACCCCAGTCACCCCTTATTAAAGCACCCTGGGCAGAGGAACTGCATCCCCCGGTGCTGATAACCAGTGCCAGGAGCAGGGGCTGTGCCCAGGACCCAGCACACGCACAAGGAGGTTGTGACAGCAGCAGCATCAGCTCCACACCAAGCTGGGGCTGTGCCTTGGCTGCTCCTGGAGAGGGATTTCCTCACCTCATGGTGAGGCAACACAGGACACCAGGAAGGAGCTCCTGGCTAGCTGAAAGTCTTGTTATTTGGCATCGGATGCTTGCAATCCATAAGCAACTTTCTGACCATTTTTCCTGGGCATCTTTTTCATTTGACTGCGTTTTACCATGAAGCTTTTGTACTTCCAACCTCATAGGGCACTAATAAAGCTGTTTTACAAGGTTATTGCAGGTTGTGCTTTTTCTCGCTCAGTCAATCATTCTGCTTCCAGCAGGACACATTTGCTGTCTCATGCAAGTGCAGAAACCTTTGTTTTGGCATCATGGAACTGCCTGAGGGGAGACTGAGCTGAGCTCTTAGGCAGAAGCTCTTCCCTGTGAGGGTGCTGAGGCGCTGGCACAGGGTGCCCAGAGAAGCTGTGGCTGCCCCATCCCTGGCAGTGCTCAAGGCCAGGTTGGACACAGGGGCTTGGAGCAAGCTGCTCCAGTGGAAGGGGTCCCTGCTTGTGGCAGGGGTTGGAGATGGGTGAGCTTTAAGGTCCCTTCCAACCCAAACCAGGCTGTGATTCTAAACACAGGGTATTTAAGGGTGATGTGTTTGAGATACTTTCCAAATCTGAGGTGCACGTCCCTTTGAAGAGGAGGAGGAAAGTCATCTTTTCCTATCCTGCCAAACCTGAGCACAGGTGGTGAGACCACAAGAAGTCTCTATAGCGACCAGCAAGGGGCTGTATAAGTCCTGGCATGGCTGTTCTGTTCAACATGACATGGGAAGCTGCACATGGGTGCTTTGGGAATGACCTGGACACAAACCTTTCTCCTGGGCAGCCACCAAACCCCAGCTATCCATGGGCGAAGCTCCCCTCTGAGAGCATAGGCAAATAAAGAGCACGCTAAGCAGAGCTCTGTGCTTCCCCCAGAAATATCCCAGAGTATCCCAAGGTACGATCCCTGCTGCTCCCTGGTGCCTCTTCCCACCACCCTACGTCAACAACAGCCTCACCTTCAGCTTTCTTACCTGATTATTCCACCTTCAATCCTGCCCACCTTCAGAGCATCAAACATCGGGGCAGATGGCAGAAGCTCAGGAGCATCACATGGCATTTGCCTTTTCCAAGCCATCCTGTCTCCCAATTTAGACCCCAAAGAAATCCGATCAGTCAAATCCAATTCTAGCTGGGCTGTAAGTCTGGAAAATGGATTATGCAAAAGGTCTGACATCAACAGCTTGATGTGAACATTGCACTGAGTTTGAGAGATCAAAGTGTTTATACCTAGGGGTTTAAAAATAGGACTAAGACTAAAGCACCTTGTGATTTCTTGACAAAAGATTACACAGCTGATAATAAGAACAATTTTCCACTGGGTTATGCCAGCACTAACGCAGGCATTATCCATCAAGGGCATTGCCACCATCCTGGGGCTTCCCAGGCCAGGGGAGATGGAACCATCCCACTACCACATCCAGTGCTTTGAGTCCTAAATGCTTTGAGGTTCCTGCTTCAGTCCTGGCAGGGTTAGAACAGACACTATCTTCTCCACCTTGTAGTTGTCTTACCCAGGTTAGCTGTTACACTTAACACCTCCTTAAATTCATTAGGTCAGCTGTAAAGACGATGGTTTTGGTCATACTCCGGCCTTTGCCTTCAGTCTGAGCGAAAATAAGAAATCCAAACCAGGCAGAACTTTCATACACAATTCCTTTATTAAATCCATGTGTTACAAAACTTCTACCACCAACCGTCCAAGTGCTCAGTGTTAGGATGCCCTCTACCACCCCAACAGAGGACTGCTGGTGTGGGGGACACCCAACAGCTCCTCCTCTGCCTGATGCGACCAAGTGAACAGAGTAAGAACTGAAAGCATTGAAGTAAACCTGCAGAATGCAGCTATAGTCACTAAGCATCCATGTAAGAACTGTGTGAGCAGCAGTGTGTTATGTTGGTTGAGATGCTGAAATTTAAGGAAGCAGAGATTTGCATCCTCCCATGAAAACATGTGTTGGAAAACAAGCTGGAAAATCAGTGAAGAGAATTTTCTCTTCCAGGCAAGAGATCTTTTATTCTTCTCAAGTCAGAAGTCAGGTTTTTCTTCCAGCTCTTTGTCTGCTCAGCTATTGATCTGAATGAGCTTTAAACAGCTGCCTTACAGCAGCATAAACTGGAAGTCTAATGAGCTTTGATAACTGAGCATGGTGTGTACTTCCAGAGCACTCTTCTAAAGGCCGTTCAGACATGGAAATGTGCATATGAACTCTAGCAGTGATTGTGTCTTATCCCTATGGATCCCTCATATTCCTGAATTTGTTCCATTGGTTAAATTGCCAGGACAAAGCACAAGCTAACCAACTAATGAAAGATAATACAGTCATAAAGGCCACAAAAAAGGGATTGCAAATCTTTTCATGGGTATGAGCTGGCCCACTGATCCCATGGGAAAATTAAGCCACAAAAACTCGTGTTATTTTCTTGCTAACAACTAAGGTGAACAAAAACTTTGTTTCAACCCCAATTCTCTTTCCACATACATGTATATATGTAGGAATGTGGGATAGAAGAGTAGCTCAGCCTATAACCGTGCAAACTTTATACCTACATCCTGTGGCTAAATTAAGTCCAGTGTAAAACCACTGTACCACTTCAGTAACTCAGATTCTGTCACTTGCTCCATTCTGTGGTCCTGCTGATAAAGCAGCACCAATCCTCTCACTGCAGAGAGCAAAACTCTGCTCTTCCCTTCTCTCTCCTTCCATTCAAAATTGGTCCCAGTGCAGTGAAAGTCTTGGAGCTCCTCAAGCTCATTCAGTCTTTACAGGGCAGGGAAAGCTGTTTAGAGTGATGATTCAAGTGAGAAACAGGGGCTCAAAAGGAGCAGAAGCACACTGTGCAAGTCTGACCTCTACAAGTGGCTCTCAAGAAGAGGTACATTTTCTATTGCTGCTCAGTGTTTGGAAATAGCTTTTTTCCAGCCCCACAGAACCCAGGTCTCTGAACAGGAAGAAGGAGCAGAGTCTGGTCCCCAGCAGGGAGATGCAAGATGGAGTTACTGCTCCACCTTCCAGCCCACACCTTGTTTTCCTCAACTGTATATTGGCCTGGCTCTGCTTGTAATCCAGTTCTCACACTTGATAGTCACTTGTTGCTGTTCAGTATCTTACATTAGCAGTATACTCTACTAAACATACATCTAGACATCCTGGATGTATGAAGACTGCCAGACCACCTCTTCTGCTGTTACTTTTGGGTTGATGTGTTCGTGTCCCGCAGGCATGAATGATGCCAACACTAGTCTGCACTGGAGACAGTACCACTGTCACTTCCCAATCCCACCTGGCATCAGGCTAAAACCCTGCTCAGGATCCACCACAGGAAGCCACAAAGTCTGTCCCTTGGGGTGCAACCAAAAACCACAGCTGGCAAGCATGGTATTCTGTACATAGACTGACTTATTCATGGGGTACCAGCAGCACATGGGTTTTAGATTGAGATAGGGCTTCTTAAACCACTGAAGTTTTCATCTGGATGCCGAGATTGTATTAAAAAGGAAAACCACTACCACCCTAGAGCAAGAGAGCCACAGTTGTAGTCACGTTTTCAGCTGTATCAAACCTGAATTTTCTCAAAACAAAGCACTCTTTCTCCTCTGCTCCAAGATCCATCCCCCAGGGTTTACATCCATTTGTAACATCTTCATCACCCACTTGTCTTTCCTGGCCCCATCAATGAACTCATCAAGAGACAGCTGCCCTGTGTATGAGATGAGGGGAACAAGACGGGGAGACAAAACATGACCAGTAAGACAAGAGGAAGGCAGGAAAGAAATCCATCTATGTTTCAGAAAATCTGCTAACAAGACAAGAGCTGTACTGCATTTCCTCATGCACATCAGCCCAGCTAGCTGACAGACAAACCACCAGGCTGGAACCCAATGCATTCACACCTACCCCAGCCCATCAGCTAATGTGAAATGCTGCATTAGCTTACACATGCTCTTCAGGAGGACTGCAAGTCTGATCCTGCGAGCTCCAATTTGCCTGGAGCTACTGTCTTTACTCAAGGTATTTGTGCTGGGACTGGGACCTGCACTCTGGCTGCTGAAAGCTTTCAGAGGATGAGATGTGTGTGGCATCAAAATCCAGTCAAAATAGTGTATTATACATACATATATATATATAATCCTCTGTATTAGACATAATTATTTTGTCCTGCTGCACCAACTTCCCCCTGATTCCAACAAGCAAACCAGAACCAAACCCAATGTGTCTAATATGAGTAATATAACAGCCTGAAGTGATTTCTCGATAATGTAATTAAAGTAGCCTGCCCAGCACAGATAACTTCATTACACATGAATGCAATCTGAGCCATTGATCACTTACCATCCCCGTTCTCATCCACTAACTGAAATATCCTGTCCACAACCTCCTCTGGCGTGAGCAATGGGGTCCTCTCCTCCACCTCTGATCGACACACTTTCTTCAGCTTGTAGATGGACTGAAAAGAAGTTCACACATTAGGAGAAGGACTGGGAAATGAAAAGCAGTGAACTCCATTATCTCCCCAGCAGCGTAAAGGCCTTGAACAAAGCTGTGGTTTTAACCTTTCTGGAAAGATCTGTCACTTGACAGCCTCAGACCTTTAATGAAACCTCTGACCTTATGCTCACACACACTGTGGGTTACTTCATTCGCTCTTTGAAGCAGCTGCACTCCCATTTTCCTTACACATCTTGGTCAGACCTCAGGGTTCCTTTGCAAAGAACAAGGAAAGGGTTTCACAGCTGGGAAAATCTGACTTTGGAGTGTGACTTCTTAACATCTGAGGCCAGGCACATCTGGCCTTACCCTGCCCTTTCCCCCAAGGAACCTGTGCCCAAGCTGCAAGATCAAACCTGTATTAGCACACATTTTGACCCACTTTGTCACTGGAAAGGGGTAGATTTTATCCATTCCTCCCATGACAACCACCTGCTCGTTATTAACTTCACTCCTTAGGCTGACGGGTTTTGTCTGAACTCTTAACAGAGAGGGGATTAGGAAGAGCCTAACACAGCTCGGGCCAATTCCTGGCTGACCTCAAAACTATAATTGAGCCTGCCCCAGACACACACCCCGGATCCTCCTGGTGCTGCAGGTAACAAACTGGTCACACCTTCCGGCCAAAAGGCTCTGTCCACAGACCCAGTTTCTGTTTTTACCTAAGGTGTTTGATAACCATTGACCGAGCCTCATGGGTACTGCTGGGCAAGGGTCAGCATCTGCAGTACAGCCCAAGCACCAAGATACTTACCTAAGGACATTTACCTTAAAATAAGAAGGCAGGTACCCTGAGTGACTGTCTGCTAAGCCCCATGCCTCCTCTCACACAGTCACTAGTTACAGCTAAGTGCAGAACAGAAACCCAGAAATCAATCACTGCAGGAGAGATTTCCACACTGATTTGTGCCTCTCTGTATCCTCACCAGCTACTAAGGCAGGAAACTGGACTCCTGTAACAGGCATGGGTGAAACCTTCTGCTGGCTAGTGCAATGGATCTTGGTGTAAGCAGGGTGAAAGGAAAGGCAAAGCAGAGGAACTTCACAACAGAGACCTTGTTTCTGAGCAGCAGCAGAGCCAGGCTGCTCCATCATGGGGCTCCATCAAACCACTGAGCACATAACCCTTCCTTCAAGGTCAGGCAATTTCACTTCCTCACTACCAACAGCTGCCTTGAAACCCGATTATCACAAACCCCATGCACATCACTACATTGCCAAAGAACAGGGATTGCTTAAATGAGTGATGAGGCAATGCCTACTTACCTCAACAATTTCCAACAGCTCGGGTTTATCTATGCAGCCATTCCCATCCTTGTCATACACTTTGAATGTCCACCTCAGCTTGTGTTCCAGTTTTCCTCGTAAAACAAGATTCAAGGCAGCTACATATTCCAGAAAATCAATGGTATTATCCTGTCAAAACAGGAAAGCAGCTGCTGCATGATACTTAACTGGGAATACTTGATATAAAACCACTTACAAAACCTGGATTAAAACTGCCAAAAGATAATCCATGGGACAGCTATTTCACAGACCATTTGTGCCAGTTTGAGAGCATCAGTAAGCAGTCAGACCCCTGTGCACCAAGGATGAGTCCATGAGGAGTGTGACACTGAAGATGAGGGCAATTCTACAGTGCAATAAGAGGGGACACGCACCAGGACTCCAAAAACTGGTGATTTAAGTACCCCAGTGACAGCACAGAGTACATGGAGGACAGGGAGGCAGATGAGGATCAGTGCAGGAGGTAGTGACTTTTTGGGAAGGGCTTTCCATTCTCAGTGACCTCAATTGCTTCATCACCAAGACCAACACCCAACCATCAGCCCATTCCTCCATCCTTCCCTCTTGTTTGATCTTGATTCAACTGAGGAAGACTTCAGCCATGGAAGGGATGCAGAGCTCCCTCCGCAGCCTACAGCAGATGCCCCTCATGCAGATCAACATCATCCCCATCGATGAGCCAGGGCCCTAAATCACTTTACAGCCCTCCCCACCCCATCAGCAAACACCTAGGTCTGGGCTGTGCACCTCTTTCTGGCACTGAAATGCTCTGCAACAACACAGCCATGATGAAACACTGCTGCTACTGGACTTTGAAGGCTAGCAAGCATAAAGAAACAATTGAGCTTCTTACCATATTACTGATAGTCCTTCAGATGGTTAGGTCCTGCTTAACTGATTATATACCATGGGTACATTCAAGCAAAACCATGAGCCTAAGCCTAATTCGGTGTTCTTAAAACATACAGATACAAGCATTCCTTAGAAAGGAATTTTCAGACTCCTTATTGCTGCTCCTCAGAATGGGACTTCACCTCCTGCCCACTGCTTGATCCACACCACTTCCAGCACAGCTTTCTGAACAGGATTGGGACCTGGACCTTCAGTAATTTGCAGGAATTCAGGCCTTGCCAACTTCAGATTCCAAGACCAGCCTGACCAGCCCACACCTTCCATTGCTTTTCCTTACCCTTCCTGACAAACTGACTTTCGCTGCCACTTGCATGTGATTCTGTCACTGGTTGCAAGGGAAGCTTAAGGGACATCGGTGTATCTGAGATACGACTGACTTGTTGCCCCTTTGCCTATAGTTATACACAGCAAACCCTCTACTTTGAACATGACCAAGAGCTATGGGGGGGGGAAAAATGGAGCAAGCATTGCTTACCCATTTCAAGATAACACAGAAGCCATCAAATGACGTTTGTTTGGAGTATCTAAAATAGCACAGGCTACTATGAGGTTCTTTTGCACCAGCACACGGGTATGCATGAACTGCTACTAAACCAGAAAGCCCACTTTTCCCAGGTGTCTGATAACAAATACAGCAATGGGAATTAAAACCAGAATGTCCCAATTGTTCAGCAGTCCTTTGCTTTTGAGCAGCTAAAATCAATATTTTGTTACATGCCACCTGCTCATGCTGTATATATGCACTTCCTCCAGTGCATAGCAAGCCTGAATAGGACTTTCCTCCGTCTATAATTCCCTTCTATCATAATAGAGATGTGTTCCTCATGTAACCATCTTGGTTATTTGAGGCTCTTTCAACACTGTCTCAAAAACTGGCTGCTTACTTCATAGGATCATGGAATGGTTCAGGTTGAAGGGACCTTAAAGCTCATCCAGTCCCAACCCCCTGCCATGGGCAGGGACCCCTTCCACTGGAGCAGCTTACAGCAAGCCCCTGTGTCCAACCTGGCTTTGAACACTGCCAGGGATGGGGCAGCCACAGCTCCTCTGGGCACCCTGTGCCAGAACCTCAGCATCACCAAACCCACCTCCAAATAGCAGCAGAAAGACATGAATTATAAGATAAATAACTGCAAAGCCTCCTGGCCACTTACCCCATTCTTATCAAAAGCTCTGAACATGTTTTCAATGTACTCTGCTGCTTCATGGTTATCCTGGACCCCGAAGAACTGCTTGAATTCGTGCATGAAGAGGGTCCCACTGGGACATTCGACCACAAACTTCTTATACCATTCCTGCAGTTCTGCAACATCAATCTCTGTTTGCTCCCCTTCAGCGTTGGTGAATTGCTGTCCCATTCTGCGCCGTAAAGCAAGATAAAAACAGAGCCAAAGGAAAACCCTGCCAAAGCCCTTTGCTTGTGTCGTCCTTTTGTCACTTTTAGTTGCTTGCTCTTTGTCTTCTTGCTGTCTTGGGCCTTCACTTGATGTTAATATTGCCTCACTATTTCACCTTCTTTATGTTTTGCTTTCTTCTTCCTCTTTTCCTCCTAGTTTTCACCACCGCAGCTTTGGCTGCTCACCTGGTGATTGTAGAGTTGCTTCTCTGCCTTAGGGCAGTATGAAGTGTGGCATCAGGCATGTTTAAAAATAGCTAAGATCATTAGGAGATTCCCACTTATGAGCCACAGAGACCTTCAGATGTTCCAGGCTGTGGCCTATTTAGGGCCAGAGCCCAGATGCTCAGGGTCCTACTGCACACTAATAGCTTCATGTCAAAGAACTTAAAAGCCAGGGCTTGCTGCTGGGGCACGTATGAGCTTCTTGTTGGGGATACCCAGTGGTTGAGAGAAAAGGGACCTGGTATCAAACACCAACTACAGAAAGCAAGCCCTGAAAAATAAAGCACACAGCACTCATATGGAGAAATCTGCTAACGGATAAAGTTAATTCAATGCCTACTATAGGCTGTTCTCTATATAAAGTGATTGAGAGAACAAGTAAATGCACGCAGATATAAATACACATATTTGCCTCATTTTCACAATTCATTCTTAGAACTCTCAGCTAAAAGTAACAGAATTATTTAATTTCCCTAATTTTTTAAGCATTGAGCTATTCTTATTTTCCCTCCATAACTTTAATTATTAATCCACACCTCCTATTTATTCTTACTAATGAATATTGCTTGTTTCTACTTCAGAGCTCTACTTCAGAGCTCTACTCCAGCCTCATTCCATGCCACAGCAAGCTCCCAGGCACCCACTCCCAAAGCTCAAACCCTCCCCTTACACATAACCTACTGCTCTTTCCTTTAGTTGCTAGAGCCACCAGCTTTTATCCATATCATGGCAGGTGTTCAGAATTCAACCATTATCCATGTCAGCTGGAAGGAAATGGCCTGTAGCTATAAATGTGTCTGAGCCAGCCTGACATCTGGATGGGATTCTTCTTTTAAGAGGATTGAAGCAGCATTGATAGGAAATAGTAGGCTCCCTGTTGCACTAATCCTTAGGCCCAAAGGTTTTGTGCTGTTTGCTTCTTTAACAAAGTCTACTTTTTTTTTTTAGCTACTTTAGAAAGAAAAGCGTCTTGCATGGGTTAAGTTTCAGTGTAAAACTCGATACTGCAGAACAGTGCAGGGATTCATGTTCTACGGTAGGAGCAGGGTTTGCTCTGAACCTGCTTGCTTCTTTAACTCATCACTGGTAGTGCATGTGGCTGTGTGTGTGGATACAGGTATGTAGTATAGTATAAGTTTGCACTTCTGTGTGCAAGCATACCCAGGCAATGCATGGTTTCATTTCAGTCTTAAGTGCTGTACTGCTTCTATCCTCCTCTCGCAAGCATGGAGATGGATGGGAAGGACTAAAGCAGTTACTAAGAAAACAGACTGCTCTCTTAACGGGCAGGTACATTTTAATCTTGTTTTAGCAGTACTGTTGGTCTGTCTTTGTGCCTTAAACAATGCAATTAATAAACTCCATCCTTCCCTTTGTAAGGGTTTCAGCCCACACCTCTTAGCTGACTTGTCTGCAGCAGAACAGCTTGAAATCTGGCTCATCAGAAAAGGTTACACTGGATCTGTTCCCCAGCACTGGTCTCTGCTGGACCTCCTGGAACAAAGTCTTTGGCACTGTCACTGTGGTATTTATAAACCAGTTTTATTGTGTTTTCCACTTCCCCATCCTCAGTTACAAAGATCATGTAAAGACACAGCTTTTCCCCTCTAATGGTATTGCACAGAACCTCAGACTGGTTTGGGTTGGCAGGGACCTTAGAGCTCATCCAGTTCCAACCCCTGCCATGGGCAGGGACCCCTTCCACTGGAGCAGCTTGCTCCAAGCCCCTGTGTCCAACCTGGCCTTGAACATTCCTTGAACCATCTTGGCAAGCACATGGGTTCCCTCTGGGTCACAAAGAGCTGGCAGGAAGCAGAGGTGCTGCTGTGGGACACAGGGTGGGGAGACCTCATCGCTCTTTCTCCAGCAGCACATCAGGGCAGTGCTGCATGTGCTGGGGTGAAGCTTTCCACCATTTCATGCTGTGTTCCTGCACCACGGCTGCATGCTGGAATGCGAGAGCTGTGAGCAGAGAGCAAGACTCCACATGCCCAGGACATTGTCTTGCCTCGTTGCATAATGTTGTTTTGCCTTATGGGAACTTAGTGATCTGTTCCCAGGAGAGAAAATGGTTCCTCTTTGTTTTGATGACTCCAGCCTTTTCCAGCTAGGAACAAAGAGACCTGGGTTACAAAGCTTGGCTGGTGTTATCGCAGGTATCACGATACAATCGTGTTGATAAAAGTACTGATGTTAATTTGGCACTGAAATAGAAGTAAATCCTATAGCTCCTGGTATGAAAATTCCTCTGCATTGTCCCAAAGTGTACGCTCTGCACTGTGTGAAAGAGCTGCTGTCGCACAGCCAGGAGGCTGTCACTTCATGGAGTACAGTCTGTCAGCCAAAGGGTTTCTTCATCTGGTTTGAAAAAGATGCAGGTAGAGGTCAATATAAGCAGAGAGAACTAAAAAGAACGATTCCCAGCAAACGTTACAGGAAGGGGTTGGTGCTGTTTGGCTGCTGGGTTAGGATCAATGCTTTATATATTATGTCAGAGTGAACACTTTGGATGATTAGTTGCAAACAGCTTACATGCCTCATTACATGTCCTGCCTAATGAGCTATCCCTGGATTCTCACCTAGACAGCTCAGAAGCTGCAGTTTCCCAGCTAAGAGCATGGAAAAGGAGAGCTTGTTTCCTGTCGGTTCACTAGCACAACATGCTGCCACACGCTGCAGCGCCGGCTGTAGAGACTCAAGAAAAACACAAACCCTGCTTTGGGCTGGAACACTCACTGGTTTGGCATCTGCGTTCCCACTCGGGGAAGGCACAGAGGCTGTAATAAAGGTGCAGGCGGGCACAGCTGCGGGAGGACCAGCCTCAGTGAAACTGGAGGCAAAAAGAGGTCCTAAACCCACGCTGGAGCAGCCCTCGCCTGTCATTTTGCTCCATTATGTTCCATACCACAGCCATGACCTGCCCTAAGACCCCACTCATGGGCTGGGCAGTCAAGGGTCATTATAGAGGGTCTAGAAGCAGCAAAGCTCTGCCCTGGTTGGTCCCAGGTGTGTGGGTGCGTGTGCTGCATCACCCGTGTCTGCTTCCTCAAGCATCAGCCCACAAGTAAAGCAGGCCTGTGGCATCCTTAAATTTACCCATCGCCAGGCAGGATGGGCATGTGGACAGGAGGAATGTGGGGAGGATGAAGGCAGCTTTTGAGGAGAGATCAAAGATCCCTCATAGTTTGGCTGGGAGTTCAGCTCTCTGTGTGTCTGTGTTTCTTCCTAGCTGCTTGCTATTTGGCCATATATTATGGGGTTTTATACAGTGGGGTAACTATGGGGGAGAAGGTATTCATCATCATGGAATGGCTTGGGTTGGAAGGGACCTTAAAGCTCACCCAGCTCCAACCCCTGCCATGGGCAGGGACCCCTTCCACTGGAGCAGCTTGCTCCAAGCCCCTGTGTCCAACCTGGCCTTGAGCACTGCCAGGGATGGGGCAGCCACAGCTTCTCTGGGCACCCTGTGCCAGCGCCTCAGCACCCTCACAGGGAAGAGCTTCTGCCTAAGAGCTCAGCTCAGTCTCCCCTCGGGCAGGTTCAAGCCATTCCCCTTGCCCTGTCCCTGCAGGCCCTTGTCCCAAGCCCCTCTCCAGGTTTCCTGCAGCCCCTTTAGGGTTTTTCTCTGTGTGTGAAGACTTTCAAACGTCCACCCAGGGCTGCTCCCAGGATACATCAACCTTCCCAAAACCGGGATTCAGCACATGAATGGAAAGAGACGGGAAATCCCGTTTTCTTCCCGTTCATTGAACCCCATCACTAACTCCCTACAGGATCCCCCGCTCCTGACTCACGGCTCCGGTTTTCCACCTACGAGAAGAACCGAAACGGGGGGGCGTGGCCTCCGGATAGGGGGCGTGGCCTGGCGGGGCGGGGCGGCGGCTGCGCCGGGCGCACCTGGGCAGGTGCGGGCGGGGCTCACGCTCCGGGTGTCTCCGCGCTCCGCTGCCCTCGCCCCCTCCGAGAGCCCCCGCGGGCCCGGAGCCGCCGCCCGCCCGCCCGCAGGGAGGGGTAAGTGGTGCGGGGCGGTGCGGGGGGCGCGGGACCCCGAGCCCAGCCCCGCGGAGCGCCCTTCGCGAAGCCGCGTCCTGAGCGGGGTTCCGCGCCCGAGCCGCGGGGGCTTGGCTGGGACGCGGAAACCCGCGGGGCGGAGCGCAGGACGCGCTGGTGGCCGTGGGAGGGGTCGCGGGTCGCGGGACGGGGCCGGGGGGAGATGCCGGGTCGGGCTTGAGTGGGAGGCCGGGGGGGGCAGCGGGAGGGCTGAGCCCGGTGTCTATGGGGCTGCGCGCTCCCTGCGGCTGTATTCGCCTCAGGCTACGTCTATCGGGTTGGTGTAGACGAGGCCCAAAGTTAGGGCGAGGGTGACTCGTCCCATCCCCTTCTCTCCTCCTCTTGTCGGACCGGAGCCGTTACCATCCTGGGAACCCAAATTATCGGTCACGGCTCATGCCCCTTCCGAGGTACCAAGGCTATCGGGCCATGGAGGGGTTGAGGTTACTCCACTGGGCATAGGGTAAGAGCTCGTAGTGCCCAGGGAGTGTTGATGGCCCCGAGCAGGGCAGGGAGTGGGGGTGGCTGCCGGAAAAGTGATGTGTGGGTCCTGAAACATGGCGCTGTGGGTTCCCAGTGCAGGGAGGTGATGGTGTTGGACACTCAGCTGAAAATTCAGTCTGTTTCTGTGTGTGAATACTAATATTAAAGGGTTGAGCTGCTTGTCTTTGAAAATACAATACAAATCCCTGAAATACAGGGTAATGCAGACAAAGGTAATGAGCAGAGGTCTGTGGTGTAGCAGCAGTGGTCCTGGAGAAGACCCCTTCCTTCTTTAGAGGCTTCATGACCAGGGTGGAGCGGAAGCACACTTGGGTGTGCAGGTGGAGAGTGAAAGCTTCTATGCGGCGAGGTTGAGACCAGCATCACGTCACACCATCTTGTGTGATGTTACACTGGTTGGCTCTGTGCTGGACCCCCAGAACTCTCACAGTTATCCAGGATTGTCCCTGACCTTGGTCTCTCACCTGCAGCCCTCAGAGAAGCGGCTGCAGGATGTCTGCTCATTCCTAAGCTTGCTTGAGTTGTTCTTGCTGGGGTGAATGTCTCCTCTACAAGGAAAAACATCTGACTTAATAATAATTGTGGTACAGGGAATAATTACATCACTGACCAGAGCTGCATTAGCAGCACAGGGATGTGCTAATTACCCCCCCACACCAGCCAATTTGAGTGGGAATAAAGCAAACTGGAGGATCCCTGGGTATGTGCACTGGGGAGTCCTGACTGCTGCCTTTGGCAATTCCCATTACTAGGATGAGATATTCCCTGAGCTCACCCTCGGCTCCAGGAGCCTCTGGCATTGGTGGACCTGCCAGATCGAAGTTGAAGGCTGTAAGAGGCTGACTCACTGTCTGAGCCCAGCAATGGGATTCAAGTTGGTTTGGTCTCGGTTATCGTGTCAACAAGTCATTGGTGATAAAAGGTCATAAAGCATTGTAGTGTGGTGTATTGACAGACGCTGTCTGTGAGCAGAGGGACAATTCCAGCCTCATTCAGCAATGCCATTACACCCTCCACAGGACTGAATGTATTTTGTTTGAGAGGCTTTATTTCCTGATGTGTGGGTTTGAATTCACTCCTGGTCTTGCAAATGGGTATGTATATGGTGTATGTTATTAGAAGCAGAGGGGACTGCTTGTAAAGTTAAGAGATGATGGAAACAAGCTTTAGTTTCCTTGTTACAATGAGAAGTAATTCTTCTTTTTCCAATATCTGGATTTGGTCTCAATTCTAAGTCCAGGATTAACCTGGACTTTGTGTCTTTGCAAACATACTACTGAAAGTTTAATTCTGATAGTGTTTTCCACCTGGGGAACTAAGACAGGAGAGTTTCAGAAGCACAGGAATAACTTTGATGACTGCTTTCTGATCCTTTGCAGCTCCTAGGGAGCAATCTGCTGACATGCCCAGGTCCTTGATGAAGCACGTGTTCAAACTCTTACTTAGAGATGATTTGCAGTTGAATCTGAATGTCTTCTTTACTTAACAGAGAAAATAAGCTGTGTTCAGATGAATTTTCTATAAACACTTGCATCTGAATGGGATCTGCAGGTATTTGAACAAATAAAACCTGTTCCTAGACTAGTTCTTGGATAGGATGTTTTTCATCTTCTCTTATCTCTGCTACTAGACACATTTTGCAACTCCTGCAGCAGTATTCAGGGCTTATGGCAAACGTTTTGCCTATCCTGTAACTGCTGTATTCATGTGATTTCTCACATCTGTTTCAAGATTTACAAATGAATATGGGAAATAGACCTTCAAAGCACACTTGTAGTGTAAAAACCCCCTTCCAAAACCTAAAGATACCAAATGCTGCCTCTTCTTGCAGAGGGATAGTCATTACTTCTGTTTGTTTGCCTTTGTCTCTGTTCTGCACAGGAAAATGCTGTTGGTTGGCAGCAAATGTAGCAGCAACACCAGGATACTTGAACAACAGCTTTGATAAGTTAATTAAAGCATTGCTTTTAGAAAAAAAACCCTAAACATTAAGTCAACATCACTTGATTTCTAGCAGGAGTGTGGGCAGACTTGCAGTTCACGTCCTTCTGGATAAACATCCTGGTTACTGTAGGTCAGTGATGTTTGCGCATGGTTTTAACTGCATTCAGGGCACTCATGAAAAAGTCATTCTGTGATGAAACAGTCCCCTCCCCTTCAGCCTGATGCTTCCAGCTTCACCTCAACTGGGGCAAAAGCCTCTGGTTTGGCACAAGTTCGTTTTTCTCCTCCTCGATGCAAGTCTGACGCGACTGAAGAAGCACCAGATCAGGCCCTTTTGCTAAGGCGTACGTGGAGGCTTCTGAAACTCTCCTGCCTGTTCTTGCTGTGGCTTGTTTGTGGCTTTATCTCCTGCACTACGTTTACGGCTCAGGTTTGATTGGGGCTCGCCCTCTGTGTGCTCAGTTCACACACAACGCGCAGTCCCTGCTTCCCGGAGTATTTAACAGTGAGTTGTTGTTCTTGTAACAGTTATGGTCCCTGTTTAGTGATGTGTTTGTAACTCATCCTGGCAGAAAAGTCATCTATCTGAGCCCAAATTAGTGTTTTCAAGGTGCAGGAAGATAACAGACAGCAGCAGTGACACAGCATAGGGTCCCTTCTCATGGAATTAACTGTATTTAAAGCATCTAAGTCTCAATTAACCCTTAGCAGCTGCTCTGCCTTTTGTAGACGATGGCATTACACCCGCGAAGAGTCCGCTTGAAGCCATGGCTGGTGGCCCAGGTAGATAGCGGGATGTATCCCGGCCTCATCTGGCTAAACCGAGAGGCGAAGCGGTTTCAGATCCCCTGGAAGCACGCAACTCGGCACAGCCCGCAGCACGAGGAGGAGAACACCATCTTCAAGGTGAGGGGGGGGAGAGCTCAGACACACCACGGCTCCTAACCAGAGACAAAGGGTTGAATTGTTGGCCCAGGAGCTGGGCAGATATTTCAGTACCTGTTTCCAGGCACATTTTGTCCTATTGCTTTGACCTGAGAAAAGCCACTTTGTGCACCTGGATGCCAGGCTTGGCACTGACAGGCTGTGGAGTTCTTTAACCCTTTCTGACCACCTAAGGCCAGATGATGTCTGATTCCTTGGGCTCTGGGAGATGACTGCTATTTACTCCATCTGCTCGGTTTAGGATGTGGTAGCTGGCCTGTTCTTTGCAGCAAACCATTAAATACTGTTACTGTTAAATAAATCTAAAGAGGTCCACCACAAACTTCCATTGCTGCTGTCCTTAATATTCTTATCCCAAGGGATTCATTATAACTCCTACACTCCTTTGAGGAACTTCTGACCTCTGCCTCTGAGGGATCTTGGCCTGATAGTTGATCTGGGGCTGAGGGAGGGAGAGGACCAGTTGGATGGCTGTGGCTGCTCTTCCACTGTCTTCCAACCGAGCCCGTTCCGCAGTGTGCAGGTTATGGCTCACTGTCAAAAATTGCTTGTGGTGCTGAGCCTGAGAGACCTAGAAAAACTCAGTGCCCAGTGCTGTAACAGTTAATGTGTATGAAGATGCATGCATGGGGTTTGGAGATTTGGATTTACATCTTGTTTTCTCCTCCTCCTTTTAATGGGAAAAACTATTAAAAGCGGGATTTTCCATTGCTGTTATCAAAAGAGGTATAGTTCAGACTTCTGCAAAGAGAAGGATTTCACAGCGAATTTGTTTGGGAGTTTGATTTCTGATAAAAGCTGCTCTGTTGAGAAGGCTGGACTGAGCACGGTGTACTTTGTCCCCAGGCATGGGCTGTGGAAACAGGAAAGTACCAGGAAGGAGTCGATGAGCCCGACCCTGCGAAGTGGAAAGCCCAGCTCCGATGTGCTCTTAACAAAAGCCGGGAATTCAATTTGATGTACGATGGCACCAAGGAGGTGCCCATGAATCCTATTAAAATTTATGAAGTGTGCGATATCCCGCAATCCCAGGGATCAATCATTAATCCAGGTGAGGGCCTTGCTGACACAGGGCTGGTTACCGAGAGGCGCTTGTCCAATGTGAGTTCCTTTCCCTCAGCATTAACTCTCAAGCTGCCTTTGTGTGCAGCAGAAAGCTGCCGTGTGCAAACCTGGCTGTGTTTAAACTAAGAGGACATTGAATCGTTGTGTACCTGTATTAAAATGAATAAAGCTGTACATGGTCAGCTAAACAGTCCCATATTGACGATAGTTTATGCTTACATTTCTAGAGTTATGTGTTAAACTGAAATTAGCATGTGGTATGGATCTGATTTTCCCTTTTCTACTTCTATTTGGAAAATACACAAATAAATGTCCAATATTGTGCAGAGCCAATATGAAGATCACATTATTATTTCAAGGAGTGCATCACAGTGTTTCACACCGATCAACTACCCACAAGAATGTGCTTGTTTGTAGGCTCCACTGGCTCAGCTCCGTGGGATGAAAAGGATAATGATCTTGATGATGAAGAGGAGGAGGAATTGAATCAATCTCAGCATGTCCCTATTCAAGAGACATTTCCATTTCTTAATATCAATGGTTGGTGGCATAGACTAATGTGTCAGTGAAGGAATTTGCTTGTAAAGTGGTTTATTGAGGAATCACTTCCTTTTGTAGATTCTCCAATGGCTCCAGCCAGTGCAGAAAACTGCAGCCCTGAAGCTGTGTGGCCAAAGAATGAACCTCTAGACATGGAAATGCCCCCAACAGCACTGCAGCATGATTTCTTCAGCAGCCCTGAGCTCTGGATCAGCTCTCTACCAAGTATGTATATGGATTTCTACAGCTTCTGCCCTTGTTTTGACTTTTTCACTGTGGCTGTTTGCCCCTTAGCATGGGGAGCTGTGTATAGTTTAAACATCCCTGTGTAGTGTGGGTCGTGTGGTGTGTGCCTGCTGCTGATGCAGTACATGTAAAAGTCCAGGAAAAGCCCTGCTGACAGGTTCTCTCTCAGTGACAGACCTAGAAATCAAGTTTGAGTATCGAGGGAAGGAGACCGGGCCGACGACGACTGTAAGCAACCCGCAGGGATGCAGACTTTTCTATGGAGAGCTGGGTCCTATGCCAGACCAGGAAGAGCTCTTTGGGCCCATTAGTTTGGAGCAAGTGAAGTTTCCAGGAACAGAGCAAATCACCAATGAAAGGCAGAAGATCTTCACAAGTCGGTTGCTGGATGTTATGGACAGGGGACTGATCCTGGAGGTCAGTGGCCATGCCATCTACGCTGTCCGGCTCTGCCAGTGCAAGGTGTACTGGTCTGGTCCCTGCGCACCTTCTTCCACCACACCAAATTTGATTGAGAGGCAAAAGAAAGTCAAACTCTTCTGCCTGGAAACGTTCCTAAGTGGTAGGTAACTTCTGCTTGTGGAAGAGAGCTTCGGATGCTGGTCTGGGCCCTTGGTGGCACTTAGAAAGGGTGGGTGCACTAGTTAGTTTGCTTGTGCTTGGAGCATGGGTAGGAGCCACCACGTCCCTGATTCCAGAGGACATGGAGCAGGTGTGCATTGGAACAAAGTCAATGTACACTCGTGTAATGCTCTGAAAAACCCTGGAGGGCCTTCCTGTAAAAGAAAGCTCTTCTGGTGCAAGAAATACACTGTAATTGTGTATGTGTAAGAGGTGGCTCAGCATGTAGGTAAGAGCGGGGAGCGTTTCTAACTGAATGAGAACAACCCTGCAGCATTGTGCTTTTCTTCCTAGAGCTGATTGCCCATCAGAAGGGACAAATCGAGAAGCAGCCACCATATGAGATCTACTTCTGTTTTGGAGAAGAATGGCCTGATGGAAAACCCAGGGAGAGGAAGCTGATTGTGGTTCAGGTAAGAGCTGAGGCTCTGGGGTGACATGCACCTTGCTGGGGACCTGTGCATTGGCTCTGGATGGAAGCCTGCAGGCACGGTTCTTCCCTGTTTGGGTTATTGACACTGGGAAACACCAGTAGGGCTGATGGGTTTTGTGACAGCAAATACCAGTGTTACCCAACAGCATCAGCCTGTACCTGTCCTTAGGTTAGCGTGGAAACCCTCCCCTGCATCCAGGGCAAACCAGCAGGACTATAGTGTGTGCCCAACCGCCTCTTTCATGCAGGTCATTCCCGTGGTGGCCCGGATGATCTATGAGATGTTCTCGGGTGACTTCACACGCTCCTTTGACAGCGGCAGCGTGCGCCTGCAGATCTCCACCCCCGACATCAAGGACAACATCGTGGCCCATCTGAAGCAGCTCTACCGCCTGCTGCAGAACCACCAGGAGGGGTGGCCCATGCAGGCACCCGCCATGCACATGGCGCAGCCGCTGCCGGCGCAGTGAGCGGCGCTCGGCTCGGCCCCAGGTTTGCTTTATGTTGTACATACAGAAAAACTTATTTCTTACCGAGTGCCTTGCCTAAATCTGAATAAAATCAGTGTAAATCTGGGCTCCTGATTCAGTGTCAGTGGTCTGTGGTACCTTTGGGAGCATTCAAAAGCAAGGGCATTACAGGGATACCTTAAGCTCCTTCACTCTTCCCAGCTCTTTGCTAAAGAAACTCATGTACAAATCACATTTTCAATGCTGTGGTATTTTTTAAATCGACTACTGGTCTTTTGTATATAAATACACGATCATTATTTTTTCCCTCTCTAATCTGTGCTCTATTAAACCTGCCTGGAGCATATCACTTTGTTTAACTTTATTTCTCTCTTTTTAAGTGCTTTTTATAGTTAAATAAACCAGCTCTACGTGCTTTAAGAAGCCTCCTCCTACTACATCCACCTCTGAAAGCAGGGGCATGGCTCTGTGCTGTGCTTCTTACACACACGTTGCTTCCCTAAGCTCTGGCTGAACGTGATGGCAGCGCCCTGCTCCCAACCGCCTCTTTCCTTGTCGTTGACGCCGGCGAAGACACGACCGGGGCGGAGCGGAGGGGGCCCGGGCCGAGAGCGGGGTGGAGCGGCCTGCCCGGGCGGGCCCCAAGCGCTCCGCCCCGGACTCCCTCCTGCGCCAGGGCCGCGGCCGCCCCGGAAGTGCTGTACACTGCGCGCCCCGCCCCGGCTGTAGCTTCCCGTCCGCGCCCAGCGGCCATGGGCGCGGAGTCTCCGGCCGGCAGCGCGCTGTTGGCCCCGCAGCTTGTGGCAGCGGCTCGGGAGGAGCTGGGGGCCGGGGCCAGGCGGCGGTTGCCGGCGGCCCGGGCCTTGCAGCTCGCCGGGGAGGTGCTGGCGGTGGCGGCGGGGTTGAAGCCGGCCCTGCTGTACGACTGCGGCGCGGCGGGCCCTGCCGAGCTGCGGCGGTACTTGGAGCGGCTGAGGGAGGCCGGGCTGGCCCCGCTCCGCCTCCATGTGCTGAGCCTTGAGGGCTCGGCCCTGCTGCTGCACCCGGGGCTCGCCCGGCGGAGGTTGGAGGCCGTGCTGGGCGCACACCCCGCGCCCTTCATGGATGTCTCGGCAGGGCGGCAGGGCCCGGTTCTCTGCGGGCCAGCGCAGGCTGAGGCCATCAGGGGCCATCTTGCGACCCTCTTGGCCCATTTAAGCGCTGCTGAGGCCGCCAGCGCCGGCCCTGTGTCCTCCAGCGAGGTTGTCCCCACAGGCTGGAACCTCTGCACCATCGTTGGGGTGCTGCTGGGCTACCCGGCGGTGTACACCTTCTGCATGGAGGAGAGCACTGAGAACTGCCTGGCGCTGACGCCGCTGAGGGTGTTCACAGCGCAGGCCTCCTGCCCCAGGATAAAGGACAGCCTCGGGGTCCAGATCTACTCCTTCAGCATCCCAGAGAGCCTGTGTGGGGAGCTGGAGGAGGCGCTGGGTGCCTGGTGCGAGGAGCTGAAGGAGGCTTTCAGTGCACAGAGTGACTTTGTCGGTCTGTGCATCTCGAGCGAGGTGGTGTCTCTGCCAGCGGTTGCCTTGTAAAACACGAGCAAGCACAGACTTCTTGGCCTTTCTCACTTGCATCACGGACTCGGGATTCCCCGTGTGTGTGGCCTACAGGAGGCCCTCGAGCACCAAAGGGTGAAGTGTGATGCTCTTGGGCCCCCAGCCTCGTAGGCTGGTTGAAACCAAATGCGTGGTGTTGCAGAAAACCAGCATGGATGTACACCGTGGTTTAAGCATCCATCCTGACTGTAGAGACTGCCCTGTGCGGTCAGGTTCTAGTTATTTGCTGCCAACGGCTGAGGATTAATAAATGCAATTGGAATGCCACGTTATCTTGAATTTCTGAAGATTATTATAGGCTCCAGATTGTATTGAATGAGGGGCACATGCTCCAGTAGAACCTGCACCGTGCAGCTCCAAAAGGGGCTTCAACCCCTTGTCTTGGTTGGATTAATGTGCTAGCAGTGAAAGGGAAGCAGATGTGGGGATGTTTGGCCTCAGGATGGGCTATCAGAGCAATGGGCTGAGCTGGGCACAGGAGGTGGGAGATGGGAAAACTGCTCTGCATGAAGGAACTGTGCAAAAACACCTCCCTGAGCTGGGCTTCTTTGTCAGGTACCAGTAGAGATGGTCCAGGGTTGAATATATCATATTTAGGGGGGAAATAAATGAAGAGAATCCTGTAGTCCTCTCATGCATGAAAACCAGGAAGGAGAATCCCAAGGGCATGGGATAACCCATCCCTCCCACCCTGCACAGGCCCCAGCAGTGGTGGCTTTGTCCCTCAGCGCTGTCGGGACTGGGCAGCACAACTTTCAACTGGTGCAAAGCAATTAGAACAGGCAAGGCAAGGGGGATCTCCAGCCTTTATTGGAGCTGCAGGAATTTGGGGTGGGGAGTGTGGAATGAAGCTTCCATAGACACTGAACACACAAGTAAGAAGCAGCAGAAGGTGCACTGTGGCGAGGGAATGTTGCTGGTGGTGAAGAAGTCAGTTCCTGCGGTGAAGTCCCTCTCTGAGAAGGTCCCTCATGGTCTGTAACTTGCTAGGAAGGAGGCTATGGCCATTGTTATCAGTGCCACCAGGAGAGGGACCCAGTGACCGTGCCGACGCTGCAAGGAGAAGCAAGTGTTAGGAGGAAATTGGTGGGAAGGAGAAACTTCTCATCCCTAGCAAACACGGGGATATTTATCAAAATGGGGATATTTATCTGGGAGCTTAGAGCAGCCTTCTGATACCTAAAGAGGTCTACAAGAAACCTGGAGAAAGACATTTACAAGGGCATGTAGGGACAGGCCAAGGGGAATGGCTTTAACCTGCCAGAGGGGAGACTGAGCTGAGCTCTTAGGCAGAAGTTCCAACATTCCAACACAAACCAGATTGGGTTTCTATGATTTTTGCAGACCAGGGTGCAGCCCCGCTCCAAAAGCACTGGGGGCCGGGGTGAGGAGCATCTCCCACCTTCGCCTGCTTGCTCTGGAAGTGGTTGAGCTCATCCCGGCACTGGCGCAGCCTGGTCAGGCAGGAGCGGTATTCCTCGCTCAGGGCCTGCAGCTCCGAGCGCAGCTCCATGCACTGCAAGCACAGCAAGGGGCCATTAGCAGGAGGGATCCCCTCTCTTCCGTACCCACCGACAGCAGCAGGGCTCCCGCAGAGGCTGCAGTGCTTCGCCCGTGCATGGGCACTGCGGTGATGGGGGACTTGCACTCCTGCTACCCGTGTGGCCGTATGTACCTACAGGGGACAGAGCAGATCTCGGCGTTACTGGGGATGTGGTGATGCCACAGCCTGTTGCCATCTGGACTTTGCTGCCACCTTTCACACCAACATGGCAGAGAGAAGCAGCAGTTGTTTTCATGGCCATGGAAGTGTGTGGGTCAGGAAGGAGTGCACACTCATGGCAGGGTTTGCCTCTCCTGCTGAAATTCATTCTACATTTCACTGACTGCAAGAGCAATTACAAACTCCTTTAAACTTGAAACATGGGACAGGTGCTGCATAACTCCAAACCCAGGGAGCACCTTCTGACCTGGACAACCCAGCTGCCTTCCTGATGAGCAATGCATTAGCAGAAGATGCTGCAGGAGCCAATGGGGGGTAATGGAGTTCCTCCCCAGCTGTTCCCTTTTAGCTGTGATTGTGCTTCATAAAGTCCTCCCCCAGGTGCTGCCTGATGGTGGTGCTGCTCTCATCGGCCTGGGTTAGTAGGGCAATCTTCTCTCCTGTGTGGCTGCAAGCTCTGCAATGGTAAGTTATAAATCCTTTTTTATAAATCCTTGCTATCTGATTACTGCTGTAAGAACTGCGGGTCTGTTTGTTGGCAGAGGGCATGGTTTGATGGGAAACACCATGCAAGCTTTGAAATTTTGCATCCCAGTTGTAAGGGCATTGGTTTTGTTGGCTTTGTTGTGTGGAAGCCTTTTCCTTCTTGCTTTCTTTGTGCTCAGGGTTTCAGCTCTTGAAGCGTGGCTTTGGCTTTTCTGAGGCTGAGACTCTCCTATCCATGAGTTTGCATGGAGAGGGCTCTGCTGGTGTCACTCTGCATGCAGAGGATGCATTGGGGGTTCAGGTAATGCTGGTATCAGGATAAAAATCAGGGGAGATAACCCTTATAGGAGATTAGAAACTTCCAAGAGCTTTGGTGCCTTGTGTTGTGCTGTTGCTGGAGTGCTTACACCAGCATCTGTGGTTCAGTGACTTCCTCACCTCATTCTCCTTTGCTGTAAGCTGGAATGTCCTTTTCTGCATCTCATCCTTCAGGCTTTCTTCTCCCCCCTTCTCCTCCTCCGGGTGCTCTAACAGAGGGTTTTGTTCCTCCTTGGCAGGAGTGAGAGGTGGGGTCTGTGTGGTGAAAACCTGGTCTAGAAAACAGTCAGGCTTCTGGTGAGAAACAGGTCCAGGCATTCAGTTTGCTTTAGAGCTTTACTCAGTGTAGTTTAAAGGTTAATACTTGTGTGCTACACACACAGCAGAGGAAAGGGGAGCTGGCTGAGTTATCATAGGCCTGCCTCTGCGATAGCAATAAGTTAAGCATGTTTAGAGGGGTTTCTAAGTAGTTGCCAGAAAGGGAGGGGAGGGAGAGTTAAAATGCCTTTTATTACCTTTTTTTTTCCCTCCAAGTACAACTGTAATTGCAATTATGAACAGGAATATATTTTGTTTTGGGGGAAAAAATGGCATAGCCACTACAGTAGAATTTACAGTGAAATCCATTTATTTTTCCAAGTGTTTGCCATCATAAATACACTTAGGTTTTAATGTTAACTAGAAAAATATAATAACTTGGTTTGTGCAGCTTTAAAATAATCCTTTATTCTAATGCAATGTGGACCTCTCCTGGAGTCAGGTCTAACATCCCTGTGTCCAGTGTGAGCAGGGCTAGGTGGGAGTTACAAAGTTTGCTGACCTTTCCTTTGTGCCATTGCCTCCTGGGTCTTCTGTTTGTTGGTCTGGCTGTCTATGAAGTCTGTGAATATAGAAAGTCAGTGTTATGATCCCCAGCACTAATGCTTTGAATTGCTTTATGTGTGTTTGTGTTACTTACTGTGCAAATGGCTGATTGTTGCCTCCAGCTTTACCCTCTGGTTTTGTTCTTCTTGCAGTGTATCTGAAATAACAGTAGAAGGGAATCAAGGTTGATGTAAACCTCTGCATCTTTATGCAAGGATGGCAACTTTCCCATTCTCCACATGTGTGGAGGGGGTGTTGTTGACTGCACTGGATGTTCTTCTCCAAAGGGATGTGATTTTTGGCTCTTTCAGTTTTAGCAGTTTTTTCTAGTGTGCCTCTATTTATTTATGGTTTATTTTAAAGTTGTTTGAGACTGTTATGAAAACCACCACCCGTTTACTCTTCCTTAGTAGTGCTTTAAAACAGCCACGTGAAGTATGTGTTTCCTTGTCTCTATGTGAATTAGTGCTTTAGGACACTACTGGCATGTATTTATATGCTGGTAACATCCCCCACCATGCAGCAGCTAGCTCCTCAGACAGTAACCCAGGCAGGCTTGCCTTGCTGCATTTGATGGGTCTACCAAGGATGTAAAAGTCCTCATCAAAGCTGAGGACTCTGAGATTTTTTCTGTTTTCAGGTCTCCCACCCCTTCTTCTAGAAAAGTCACTTAAGTCCTTTAATCTGGTTGGAAATGACTGTAGGAGCCCTTAGGAAGCCAGCAGTTTTCATGGCAAGCTGAGGTGCACAGCACAGAGAGTGAGCCTTTTGTGAGTGCACATACTTGGCTTTAAGGAACAGGATTTTAAGAGTGTTTTCCTTGTATCCTCCTTCCTTACACTCACCTGGAGGACAGACCCCCACCACCATTCTCCTTGCACATGGTACCTTTGATGGCACGGATGTGCTCAGCCTTCAGGTCGTTGTCCTCCTGCAGGGCACTGGCTCGCTGATGGAGCACATTGTGCTCGCTCTGCAGCCTGCACAGGGTCTGGTGGAGCTGCTCGTTCTGTGCATCCGCTTGCTGCAGGTGAGAACAGCCCCAGCATCAGCTCAGCTTTGAGTTGAATATATGATCACTGTGCTCCATCAACAGGGATTTGTTATCCAGAGACCTCCACCTGTGGGCTCCCAGTGGATTTGATGCTGTTCCTGCAGGGAATTGACGTACCTGAAGTTTGCTCTGCAGAGTATGGAAGCTGTTTTCAAGCTCAGTGTGTGCCGTGGTCACCTGGGTCAGTTCAGCTTTGAGGGTGGCATAGTGCTCCTTCCAGAAGGCAAGGTCCTCTCTTGTCGCTGCCAAGCTTCTCTAGGGAGGAGAGCAAGGAGCCACGGGTGGGCTGTGAGTGGTGGTGTGGTGGGACCATGCCAGGCTGCTCTGAATAACACCTGCAGGTGCTCATGTGAGCTGTGTGGGGCTGGGGCAGCACTGCCTCTGCCTGTACCGTGGTGGTTGCAATAACCTGTGTGGGGCTGATGCCATCTGATGGGCAGAGTGAACCTGGGCAGAGGCTTGGTTGTGGTGCTGGGTGTATTTAAGCCTGGTAGTACTTGGGAGATGATTTACTTGTGTTTTCTGACAATTCCAGTTATCCTGTGTGTCAAAGGAAATTTGGGGAAATGTCTTTTCATATAATAGAGCAGCTCCAGAAAGGATGTCCCTGAAGCCCTTGGGTCCCTGGATGTGTGTGAGGCTTGTTCCCTGTGTAAGTGCAGAGCAGAATGGGAGGGCTGTTCATGGCAGTTGGACTAGATTAAAGCAAACCCAGGAGTAAACCGTGTTGCTTACCTCAGAGTTTTGCAGCTGCTGTTCAGTCTGAAGTTTGTCCTCCAGCATCTTCTGAAGAGCCTCTTTTGCCTTCTCCTCATAGGTTTGC